CTCAGAATGTAAAAACAGAAAGGGAAATTGGATGTTTGTGTTCTCAGCAAAGGCCAAAGAAATGTTAAGCCCATTTCCTCTGGTTTGCCCCTAACCCCCCAGTCCTCCCCCAAACTCGACTCCTCAGCAGACTGCTTTGGAGATAAAGAGATTTCGTGCCACCTTATCTACACAAGACTAAGCAAAGCCTCTTCGGTCCTTAACAGAAATGACAGGCAACAGGAATTCAACAAACATTTTGTTTTCCTTGCAATATCTGTCCAATCCTTCCCCAACTTTAAAACGGCAGCTGTTTAGGGCAGGCCCTATCTCACAAGGAGCTCACCCTACCAAAAACAGCCAAAAGCCTTCAACGTATATTTGTCTATAAATTCAAAACTAAGGCACAGAGGAGGTCACTTAATCCCTTCCGAAAGAAACATTAAAATGCACTGGCCTTGTCCTGCAACGGAAATCCTGGCTTAATAAGGCAGGATATACAGGAGTAGCATGCACCCATATGCCACTCCATTGCCGTCACTCTGCTTGAGCAGCAAACACACCACAAATGCAGTGGCTGACACGGTTTCCCCATTACGCGCAAATTGGAAACCAATGGTTAATGGCTTCCTAACATTCCAAAATTCGAGAGTCAACTTCAACTACTTACACTGGGTACTCAGATGAGTGCCTACTGCCAGTTTAGGATAAACTGTTCATGAAGTGGACTTGTGCGACAAGACTTGGTCTGCTTCAATCCAGTGTTTGCAACCAAGGTTAGGAACAGAAGTAGTGTTAGCCACCAACCAGGCAAATTAACCAAATAGGGAACTAGACAAATCCAATGGAGAAGAAGGCTATCAAGAGCTACTAGTCATTATAGCTATGTTCTACCTCAAATGTCGGAAGCAAATAGACTCTAAATATTGCTGGGAATCTCAAGTGGGGAGAGCGATGTCGAGCTTGGGTCCTGCTTGTGGGCTTCCCTTAGGCATCTGATTGGCCACTGGGTGTTCAGGATGCTGGACCTGATCCAGTCATTATGTTCTTCAGCTTCCAAAGCTTTCGCCACAATAAATTTTGCTAGTCCCTTAAAGGTACCGCAAGATTATTTGCGGGCTTTGATACTTCACTGCTTGCATAGTGCACGACACTATGCAAAAACGGGTCACCTCATGTCACAATTGACAGGCAAGCAGACCTGCTTTCCTATCAAACTTGTTCTGCGGGAGGTGTGAGCAATACAGTTCCAGGGTACTGCCCAGATCCAGTTCCCCAGCCCCGATTTGTCCGCACACAATTATACATGACTGTCAGGGAAACTGCCATCAGTGCCGGAGGGTGAGAGCAAAATCCAGAGGGATTCCAGAGAGCGTCCCGGGAGTGGGAGAGGCAGCCCATCTTCTGGGGAAGAGAATCAGCGTAGCACCAGTGCAGAAGGGGGGCAGATGGGGGAAGCGGCGAGGCGGTCCCATGACTCCTTGCCGGGGACCAGCGGGGGGAGGAAGGGTCCTCCGCTGCCTACGCCCTCCTTGCGCAGAAGGCTTCCGCGCAGGGAGAGTAGGAGGAGACTAGGCGTCAAAGAGCTTCTTTGCTGGAAGAAGTTTAAGAAACGCCCACTGACGGATTCTGCCAGCGATTGAGACAGCCACGAGAGAGTGGCTATCCGGACAGAAAAGGTTCACTCAGGCAACCCAGCCAGGTGTTTGCACTGACTTATGCACGAGCAACCCCTAGAACCATTACAATGACATTCCAACCATAAGGTCTAGAAGTCTGCTTGCTTTCAGTTTTAGTTTTCATAATGAGACTTTCGGCAAAGTGGGTGTTGTGCCTATTAACACAAGAATGGGAGACCTGTAACCCTCCAGATCTGCTAGACCAGCACTCCTGTCATTCCTGACCATTGGCCATGCTAGATGGAGTTGATGAAGGGATGGCAGCCCAGCAACATTAGGAGGGCCACAGATTCCACACCCATGTAGGGAATCTGCTCGCTGTCTGCACTAGTGGGTAGCTGTAGAAACAGGATAAGGGAGCCATCCATCTCACCAAACGTCCTCCCATTCTGCATTTGCACATTAAATGTGCATACTTAATACGCTCATCATATTTCATTGTACATTTTATATTTATACAACAAAGAGGCTTGGAAATACATTTGGGAGAGTTCAGGAGGGGAAAAGGAGGGGTGGTTTGCTTCTCTGTTGTTTTGCTGACAGTTGCCAAATACCCTGGAACAGGGAAACTCAGCAGGAAAGAGGAGAGTCAACATCAATATTATCACAGCATCTTGCTTGGTGGGTTAAGCTAACAGCTGCTACATTCAGCCAAGTTAAAGACTCAGACTCCACTCAGAAGTCAAACTCTTGGCAAAGACGTCCACCCAAGGAAAAAGCTTCTAGCCTCCTCCACATTACAGAAGCAGCCCTGACGCCCCTATGTGTGGACAGCCAAAGTGGTGTAATGGTGAGTGTTGGACTGGAACCGAAGATACTCAGGTTCAGCACCTCTGCCGGCCGTGAAGTTCACTAGGTCACCTTGGGCCAGTCTTGGTCTAATCTACCCCACAGGGCTGCTGTGCAGACAGAGGGAGAGGGAAGGAAGAACCATCTGTATCACCCCGAGCAACTCTGAGGAATGGTGGGATTAAATCTGATACAAACAAACATTACATCGTTCAGGGGAAGCTAGCAGGCTCAAAAGAAAATAAAAGCCAACACTCTTCCAGTTTACAAAGACTTCCTCCTACAAGACCTCCTGCCATTAGTGGCCCTTGATAAGATCCTGCTCCATAAACTACACAAGAAGCCAAGCTTCCAATAAATTTGGGGTGCAGTTTTTGGAACTAATACCTACACAACCAGAAGCAGTGGGAGGGACAATGCAGGGAGGGAAATGTCTCCAGTGTAATAATGGTTGTTAATCTGGGACCCCCAAAATGGCACAAACCCTTATCTGAGCATGCAAGGCTGACACACCAAACAATGAACAACCAAAATGGAAAAGCTGTGATTAAAAAGGGAGGGGAACAAACACACACAAGGGCTGAGGGAGGTAAAGGAACTGGGAGGGGGACAGGTAATAAGGGACTGCAATATTTTATTGTAACAATGTGAAAATCCTAATCAGCTACAGTGGTACCTCGGGTTAAGTACTTAATTCGTTCCAGAGGTCCGTTCTTAACCTGAAACTGTTCTTAACCTGCAGCACTTTAGCTAATGGGGCCTCCCGCTGCCACCGCACCACCAGAGCACGATTTCTGTTCTCATCCTGAAGCAAAGTTCTTAACCCAAGGTACTATTTCTGGGTTAGCAGAGTCTGTAACCTGAAGCGTATGTAACCTGAAGTATATGTAACCCGAGGTATCACTGTATAGATAAAACAAAGCTTCCCCACTGATTAACTGGAGGCCAACTTCACCCAAACATAGCTATTAGCAAATTTGTCTTAGGCCTCATTCTCAAACCTGAATCTAGGCTTAACCACTTTACCCTGATAAAATGTTCCCGCATCTTGTTGGGGGTCAGGGGTGGGGAGAAAGGGGAGGATTCCTACAGGGGGGAAATCAGCATGTCAAAAATTAATCTGGACTGCAAGCCTTTTTCTCTGCTGACACGCTAGCTTCCGATGTGGAAGGATTTACTTATTTGAAGTAAGGCGGGGAGCAGATAGATGGCTGTGACAAGTAGAAGCAGCCAGCAGTGGGCGCCAGATGCTTAGCTATCAAACAGAAGTGGAATAATATACAATGGGCCACACTTTTGGAGCGGGCAAGGATATGGGATACCGTGCTCAGTTCTGGTGGCTGCACCACAAAAAGTGCATCATAGAGCTGGAAAAGCTGCTGCAAAGGACAACCGAAACGATTGAGAGGCTGCAGCTCCCTTATGAAAAAGAGGTGCAACGTTTGCAGCTTTTCATGTTAGAAAAAAAGCTGAATAAGGTGCAGGGAGGCGGACGTGACACAGGTGTGTTAAAATAGGAGTGGTGTGAAGAAAGCAGGTAGGTCCTCACTCACAATACAGCAGTACCTCTGGATGCAAACAGGATCCGTTCCGGAGCCCCGTTCATCCCGAGGTATGATTGTACTAAAATTAGGGGATGATCCAATAAAGCAGAAGAGAGGGCATTTCAGGACAGGCAACAGGAAGAACGTCTTCCTAGAGCGCATAGTTGTAACTGTGGGGTTTCACTTCCACAAGGTGTGTCAATGGCCACCAACCTGGATGGCTTTAAAAGGGCAGGAGACAAATTCATTCATTTGTATGTGCTTGTGTGTGTCTTTTTATATAATGCTGTTTTTACTGGTTTCAGGTGGTGCTTTGATTTTTTGTGATATATAGTTTCTTTTTTTAGACTGTACGCCTCTTAGAGTTATTCAAAGTATTAAAAGGTATAGGGATCCCTGACCATTAGGTCCAGTCATGTCCGACTCTGGGGTTGCGGCCCTCATCTCGCTTTATTGGCTGAGGGAGCCGGCGTACAGCTTCCGGGTCATGTGGCCAGCATGACTAAGCCGCTTCTGGCGAACCAGAGCAGCGCATGGAAACGCCGTTTACCTTCCTGCCGGAGCGGTACCTATTTATCTACTTGCACTTTGACGTGCTTTCGAACTGCTAGGTTGGCAGGAGCAGGGACCGAGCAACGGGAGCTCACCCCATTGTGGGGATTCGAACCGCCGACCTGCTGATCGGCAAGTCCTAGGCGCTGTGGTTTAACCCACAGCGCCACCCACGTCCCATTCAAAGTATTAAGCATATATAAATGCTTTTAAGTAAATAAAGTGCCTCTGAATACCAGTTGAAAGAGGACTATGGTGCTCAAGTTCTGTTTCTGGCCTTCCCAGAAGCATCTGGTTGGCCACTATGAGAACAGGATGCTAGACCAAGATGGGCCTTTGGTCCGATCCAACAGGGCTCTTCTGACGCCAGAAATAAGGATTGTACTCAAATGGATTTATTTTTGTTTTTGTTTGCACTCATTCAGAATGTCATTAACGCAGCTGAGCGCCTCACTGCTAATGAGATGTTGACTTAGTTTTGCTCACAAGCTTACCTCAGCCTCCTTCTGCTGAAGGATCCTATCTTTGTCCACAACTTCTTCTTCAACAGGCCTGTCAGGTACAAGAAACGCACATTAGCATCACAAGCGCTAAAGGACAAGGGTTCAGATCTTGAGCAGAAACATAATGCAGCCAAAGAGATAAATTGGTTTTATTAAAAATAATTTGTTCAGCTGGGGGAAAAGCCTAGCTCCTTTAATCAGACAGATTTTTTTAAAAAAGCTTACATATTTTCAATGCAAGTTCTTGCAAATATGCAGGTGGCAAAAACCGTCTTAGAAGAGGCATTTCCTCCTTTACAGGTGGGAACGTCTCTTCTGGGATTAAGGCCTGCATTATCTAAAAACAGGGATGTTGTATAACTTTCAACATCCCAGATCACTGCTGGTTGAGGCTGATGCAAGTTGGGAGTCTGGCAACATCTGATCTAAAAAGCAAAGAAATATGCTTTTTTGCTTCAGGACAACTGTTTTATTCATTTACCCGACTGCTGTAGATGTAGCCAATTAGAATTCAGCCAATGATTTGACCCGAGTTTCCATATTGTAACCCTTCTCCAAAAATGCAAAGGAGGAATTGCCTTTCTGCAGTTTTCTCAAGCCCAAGCAGCCTTGCAGCTGTCGCCTTCTCATTCTTCACTCTTGTTTTGTATAAGGAATTTCCTGGATTTTTACACCCTAATTCTGTCCTACACTTCAGTGGAGCCATTTCCTCTGCCTACCCCCCTACCCACACCCTATGGCACCAAGTTATAAAACAAAGAACCAGCCCAGACACACACAGTCATTTCCTTAAACTAGAAATATTTCTGCACTCTCGCGCCGAGCGATATCAAAGAGAAACAAGTTTTTTTTGGTCAGGAAAGGCACAACACGAACAGAAAAGATTCACACACTAAAAACAGAATGGTCAAGGGCACAATATTCACACAGAGGGACTGAAGTGAGTTTAGAGTGGCATCAGGAAGAGGAATAAAGACATTTTTTAGCCAAGATAATTTGCCTGGCTATATAAAATTAACACAGAGAGAAGAAAGCTGGGACATTCTCAATCTAGAATCGTTGGGACTACAGTGGTACCTCTGGTTACATACTTAATTTGTTCCGGAGGTCTGTTCTTAACCTGAAACTGTTCTTAACCTGAAGCACCACTTTAGCTAATGGGGCCTCCTGCTGCTGCTACGCCACCAGAGCACGCTTTCTGTTCTCATCCTGAAGCAAAGTTCTTAACCCAAGGTACTATTTCTGGGTTAGCAGAGTCTGTAACCTGAAGCATATGTAACCTGAAGCATATGTAACCCGAGGTACCACTGTACATTTCTGAAGGTTGAAGAGTTAAGCCTCACATGCATGGACACCACTTGACTGATTCCTCGGCACTCAACAAGCCACAGCTGAATTAGTGAGTTATAACAGCATTGAACACACTGCATTTGAGAGGGCATTTAAAAGTTCTGTCCACATGGTGTTTGCTTTGGTTTGGGGATGGTTCATTCAGGCACATAGATCTCAACTTGACATCAATAGATGAACATGTGTGAAAACAGCCCTTTGGCTTTCCAGTGCAGTCTGCAAATGGGGACTCTGAACGCGGTTCACTGCGACCATCTGTGCATGATGTTTTAAATATACGAGATATGTGCAAGACGTACAGGAATTGCTGTGAGATCTACGCATGAGACAGGGAAGGGGCCACAGCATTGCATGCAGAAGGCTCAGTCCTTAAAATATTTAGTTTAAAACACCAGAAGCAGTCTTATACCAGGTCAGATTAACTGTCACCTATTGTCTACAATGGCAACAGTCAGTGGCGTAGCGTGGGTTGTCAGCACCCGGGGCAAGGCAAGTAATTTGCGCCCCCTAACCCGTGGATTTGCGCCCCCTAACCTGTGGATTTGCCCTAACCCCAGATGTTGCGCCCGGTGCGGCCGGCCCCCCCTGCACCCCCCACGCTACGCCACTGGCAACAGTTCTCTAGGGACTTGGGCTTTCCCATATCCAGCTCCCCGGTCCATTTTAACTGGAGATTCCAGTGGCTGATCCTGGGACTCTCTGTATGAAAAGCATGTGCTGTACTACAGAGCTACAGTATGTCACAATCCTAGATTATGGATCTCAGGGAGCAACATTGGGAGAAGATTTTGGTCTGGAGAGCTACCGCCGGACAGAACAGGCATAATACGGCTAGATGAACAAACAGCCTGACATAGTATAAGGCAGATTTCAATGTTCGTATGCATATTCCCCATATCTATCTAAACGGCCCAAGTCAGATGGGCAACATAAGAATAAAGGGTTGCATCTGACAAGGTCGACCCATTTGCACATACCTAAAGACACCTCCAGAGGATCAGGGGAATCCCCAGGACAGATCTGGGGGGTGCATGGGAGTGGACTCTCCATTGAGCAAGCGGCAGTTCTTGCGGAAACAAGACAAGTTTGGATACAACCCAAAGATTACATCAATTACTGAATGAATACTGGGTGGGGGAGAGAGATGTGATATTTCACAAAGCCCTTGGCTGGTATACTTTCTGGAGCTTGCGCACACACACACACACACACACACACACACACACACACACCATCCTAGCTGGATCAGTGGTTTCTTCCCGTTAATTAACACAGAGGAAGCAATTTAAAACAGAAGCCCCTTCGCCTTGGTTTCCGTGTGTGTTTTCAGGCTAGGAAAAGGAAGGGAGAGGTTACGAGAATGAGATCAGCAGATACAGGAGTTGGGGAGGGGGTTGTTTCTGAAGCTACTTTTAAGAGCAAGGCTGGGCAGAGTCATAAGGGAGAAAGCACAACTCAAGAGAGAGACTCACTTGCCGGTGCGTTTTAGCCTCTCTGACCGGAAGTTTTCGTAGTGCAAATCTTGAGTCACTTCTTGAAGATCCTGCATGTGGGTCCTGAAACGAGAAGCGCAGCTTTTAACTTCTTTTGCCAGGAGCTCCTGAGTCAAATTTTATTAAGTTAGGTTCATCTCTTAACTGGATAAAAAGCAGCATCACAGCCTTTACAGACATGATTCATGCCAATGCTTTTTTCATGCCATGAATGAATGTTTTTCTCCATTTTTACTAACCCATAATAACTGAAATGCTATATTTTCTGTCTTTTCAATGACAAGATCCATAAGCTTAATTTAAATTTTAACCGATTCCAAACTTCAAGTAAAAACAGACAGTACAGTGGTGCCCCGCAAGACGAACGCCTCGCAAGACGGAAAACCCGCTAGACGAAAGGGTTTTCTGTTTTGGAGGCGCTTCGCAAAACGAATTTCCCTATGGGCTTCCTTCGCAAGACGAAAGCCCATAGGGAAATCTCCGGGACAGCGGGGAAGCGCAGCGCGTCTTCCCCACTGTCCTCGGACCTCCTCCCGCCGCCAGGCTTCGGAAGGCTGCTCCGAAGCCTGGCGTGGGGCAGAGAGGTTTTTTAAAAACCCCGGGACAGCGGGGGACTTCTCCGCTGTCCGGGGCGATTTTAAAATGCTGCCGGGTGGCAGCGCTGCTGCCCAGCAGCATTTAAAAAAACCCGGGACAGCGGGTTTAAAATCGCCCCGGGCGGCGCGTTTCTCCGCTGTGCCGGAGGGCTTTTGAAGGCAGGCGGGGGGAGCAAAGGCTTTCGCCCCCCTCCCGCCTTCAGAAGAGGTCCTGGAGGTCTTCTGAAGGCAGGCGGGGGGCGAAAGTCTTTGTTCCCCCCTGCCTGCCTTCCCGGGAGAGCGGAGAAACGTGCAGCCTCTCCTTGCGGAGGGGTTGCGCGCAGCTATGGAAGAAGGCAAGGCAGCGAGCGGGATGGATCCCGCTCGCTGTTTTGCCTTCCCCTTTAGCCCCGTGCAGCCTCTCCTTGCGGAGGGGTTGCGCGCAGCTATGGAAGAAGGCAAGGCAGCGAGCGGGATGGATCCCGCTCGCTGTTTTGCCTTCCCCTTTAGCCCCGCGCAGCCTCTCCTTGCGGAGGGGTTGCGCGCAGCTATGGAAGAAGGCAAGGCAGCGAGCGGGATGGATCCCGCTCGCTGTTTTGCCTTCCCCTTTAGCCCCGCGCAGCCTCTCCTTGCGGAGGGGTTGCGTGCAGCTATGGAAGAAGGCAAGGCAGCGAGCGGGATGGATCCCGCTCGCTGTTTTGCCTTCCCCTTTAGTCCCGTGCAGCCTCTCCTTGCCGGGAGACACTGCGCAGGGCTTTCCTGGCTTTTCTGGGAGGTGGGGGAATTCCCCCACCTCCCGCAAAACCGGCAGAAGCCGCGCGCACTTTAAAAGGGCTGCACGGCTTCTCCTGGCTTTCCTGTCCCCGACGGCTTTTGAAGGCAGGCGGGGAAGCAAAGACTTTCGCCCCCCGCCCGCCTTCAGAAGAGGTCCTGGACCTCTTCTGAAGGCTGGCGGGGGGCAAAAGTCTTTGTCCCCCCTGCCTGCCTTCCCAGGGGCTTTTAAATCGCCCCGGACAGCGGAGAAGTCCTCCGCTGTCCCGGGGCGATTTTAAAATGCCGCCTGCCAGCATTTTAAGATCGCCCCGGACAGCGGAGAAGCCCTCCGCTGTCCCGGGGTTTTTTAAAATGCTGGGGGGTGGGTGGGAAGAAAAGCCCTTGTCCCCCCCCCCCCCAGCCTTCAGAAGAGGTCGGGGGACAGACTGTCCCCAGACCTGGTCCGAAGTCGGTTTCCATAGGAACGCATTAATTGATTTTCAATGCATTCCTATGGGAAACCGTGCATCGCAAGACGAAAAACTCGCAAGAAGAAAAAACTTGCGGAACGAATTAATTTCGTCTTGCGAGGCACCACTGTATTCTGTTCCTACAACCCACATCCTCAACAATTCTCTACTGCAGTGCTACATATTGGTAAGCTTCGCACAGGTCCACCCGCTTTAGAAAACTATCTATTGGGATGTTTTCTTAAATGTGGTGCTAAGAGGAACTTCCTAGCCTGGAAAGTGTTATATGTGAAGGAAGATGGGAGTGTGGGGAACCAGTAGCATGTAAAGTGGATGTACTCTTCCATCAAGTCAGCCTTTTCACTTGACCTACAGACACAATAAAATATAGAATCTGAACCTCCACCTTACTTGCAGAAATAGTCTTCACTATCACTGTGGCTTCAAAGGTGAAAGTCACATGTGACATGGAAACAATCCAGCAGGGGGAAATCTTTGACTGGAACTTTACCAAGCCAAGGATGTCTAATGGAATCAAATGCCACAGAATTGCTGTAACCCACAAAGCCTGATTAATGGAATTACCCTAGGAGGAATAACTCAGACATTATTAAGAGTCACACAGCTAAGTAGCACTTTTTGGATTATCAGCCCTAACATATTCCTGGAATTTTACTATATTTAGTTTCTCAGCACTTGCTGCAAGGAATGCTCCGCTTGACTTGTTTCAAATCTTTTTTGCATTGTTAGAGGAGATAACATGCATTAGTCCAGGGGCGTGTGCATGTACACAGAGAGAAAAATCTGTACATTGACAATGAAGCTATAACATATCTTGTGGCTATGATTCAGAACAGATACACATTGCAGAATAAAACTAAAATCAACTTCAATCTCTTGCAAAAGCAAATATTGAAATAACTCAGATTCCAAGAACCCCCCTTGCCAATCAGAGCTGCAATATGATCAAGATGAATTCTGAAACATCCTGACATTTCCAATTTAAATTCCTTTAGGGATTTCTGCTTCCAAATACGGTACATTCCAATTAAAGCAAGCCAGATTTTAAGCAAGCCACCTATTTCCTAACAACATATTTTTATTGATCATTTAGCCAAGAAACAAAAGACAAAAGCAGTTTTAGTATAAAGAAAGAAGCAGAGCTCTCACGTAAACCATGCAGCTAAGCAGGCGAACATGTTTTTGTGGACAGTATGGACAAGAGGCATCTCTCTCTGACAAACACATTTTGTTAGAGATGCCTGTAGTTTAAGACTAAATAAGGGACTCTACTTACACCAGCATGGTGCGTAACTTCAGGAAATCATTGTGCTCCGGATTCTCGACTTCCACCACTCCCCAGGGATACAGGCGACCTCTGATCTTTTTCCCTTTCACTTCAATAAGTTGGTTGGACCCAATCACAGCAAAAGGAATGCTAGCCTAGATGAGTCAATAAATTCCATTTTATAAGATCATCAATGAATAATGCCGATGGTACGAGTCAACTTGCCACTTAATATACCCTGACTGTTCAAAAGTTTTGGCACAACATTCCACAGAAATCTCCACTTTCATTTATGTTGAAGTGCAAACTTTTAACTCATGGGTAGTTAAAAAAAAATATCATTGGTATATTACCATTTTTTGCAGAGGTTAAGGTAATTTCTGCTACAGCCTCAGAAACTGGAGTTGTGAGATGTTGGCAAGGGTATTATTTCAACTGCAAAAATGGGAAGTAAATATGCCTTCCTGTATGCAATAATTGTAGCAAAACTAACACCTACGTGAGCAATACATTTAAATTAGGCAAATGCCTAATTTAGCACCTGTTGATGTTGAACCCACCTTCAGAACTCGAGTCTGCTCTTTGAATTCCTCGTCCTCATCGGAATCTGCATCAGGTAATTGGTAAATCCTTATGCCATGTTCAGAAATCTCATCTAAAACCTATGGGTGCAGGGATGCAAGAGACAAAAACGCAGGGGCGATTTTTAGTTACATTCTACATTAGGTGTACATACATGAATTCTGAGAGCCTGCGGTGGTGCAGTGTGTTGAGACTTGGATCTGGGAGACCAGGGTTCAAATCCTCGCCCAGGTATGAATCTCCCTGGGTTACCTTGGGCCAGTCACTCACTCTCAGTCTAACCTATCTCAAGGTGTTGTTTTTGGGATTACCGTATTTTTCGCTCCATAAGACGCACTTTTTTCTTCCTAAAAAGGGGAAATGTCTGTTCGTCTTCTGGAGTGTATGTGTGGTCCTTGGAGCCGAATTGCCCAGGGGCAAAAAGCAGATCATGTGGGGGTTTTTTGAAAACAGGAAGTGGGTGTTGAAACAAAGCCATTGATCGTTTGCCGATCGGGGAGAGAGATATGGGACGCTAGAGATAAAGGAGGCTGCCTGGGAGGGGAGAGGTAAAGACAGCAAACTTGCAAAGGGGGGAAACAAGAAAACTAAAGCAAAATCACGCACCCACTGTTGCGTGGGGCTGCAATGGGGCAAAAACGTGGTTACAAAGCATGGATCCACATGGATCCTCAGGATTTTTGCACTGGGTTACCCCAAATTCACCATCAGATCACATGTCTGTGGCCACAGCATGAACCACAAAAATCATACATCCACTGTTTCTTTCAGAATATTTTTTTTCTTGTTTTCCTGCTCTAAAAACTAGGTTCGTCTTATGGTCAGGTGCGTCTTATGGAGCGAAAAATACAGTAAATTAGAAGAGGGGAAACCATGTACACCACCTTGAGCTCCTCGGAGAGAAAGGTGTGACATAAATGAAATGATTACCATTAATAATAAATTGTATTCTTATGTTGTTGCCACTCAAACCCCAGAGCTTGCATTATTTCAGCTATTAAGGGATTTGTTCCTAAAGCACTGACCTATTCTTCCATTTTTCTTACACTCCTTCGTGGTGATTAAATTAAATTGATTGCTTCCACTAGCAAATGCCACTAGATTGCAATATGAAGTTACTGTTTAAACACTATCCCTAGACAGAAAAATAGTTAAGAGTTATTGATTCTCTAGCTTGTTATTGGGGAACGGGGAGTGTTTGGTAAAAGAAAAAGAAAAAATAATTTTGCAACAGGGAATGAATCGGTTTAGCACTGCAAAATTCAGCTGTTATTTGGGAGGGGAAGCAATCGTGACGCACTTTGAAGCTTAACGAAATTATGAATTGGCGTTTCCTCCCGCACAGAACCCAAAAGACTAAGATAATTTTCAATTGTGTGAAATCCAGCAAGCCTCCCAAAGGCATGATTTTGAAGCAACTGGGCTTCTGGAGAGAAGACCCAAGACATCCAGAGAAAATCCTGACTTGTGAAAGGCAAGTAGTTCTTGTTCAGACAACACTAAAAGGTAAGGGTAAAGGTACCCCCTGACCGCTATGTCCAGTCACAGATAACTCTGGGGTTGCGTACTCATCTCACTCTATAGGCAGAGGGAGCCAGCATTTGTCCGCAGACAGATTCCGGGTCATGTGGCCAGCATAACTAAGCCGCTTCTGGCAAACCAGAGCAGCGCACGGAAACGCTGTTTACCTTCTTGCCAGAGCGGTAGATATTTATCTACTTGCACTTGACGTGCTTTCAAACTGCTAGGTGGGCAGGAGCTGGGACCGAACAACGGGAGCTCACCCTGTCACAGAGATTCGAACTGCCGACCTTCCGATCAGCAAGCCCTAGGCTCTGTAATTTAGACCACAGCGCCACCCACATCCCTCAGAAAAACTACCTTGAATTAATAAGCCATTTACTAAGCTGAGAACAAGCAGCCTTTCCACATGCTCCCTTCTCCATACCAGCATGGTGTTGTTTCTATTGTGGTTTGTGCAAACCACAGTTTCCAGAATCTCTGGTTTAATTTTGTCTTACTAACTGGGATCAGATTCTAGATATATATCCCTGGTTAGTAATCAGAGATTAAGCCACAGTTTCCTGATTCGAATGGGAAACTGTGGTTTAAATGTACCACGACAGAAGCATCAACGCCAGTGCACAGGTAAAGAGATGAAGCAGGGGTGATGGGCCGAATATGGTACACCTGATGCTCTGAACCAGCAAATTCAGCCAGAATGGGATATTAAGAACGGAATGGGTCAGTGGTCAATCCAAGCACTAAAAAAGTTCCCCAAGAAAGACTTCACAGAAAGGGAAAGCAATGGAGTTGCTCTACGGCCTTCCGCACCGTCAATCACTAAATGAGATAAACAGCCAACAACATCCAAGCCCAGTCCACCCAAAAACCCAACACACTGGAGAATGAAACGTATTCTCTATGCAAATCTCGGTAATTCCTTAAGGAGGCATGCCTGACACAGCTTGGTTTTAAAGGCACAGCATCTCTAGCATTTGCTACACAACAGAAAGTCAGTCCCAATGCAGAGGAGCAGGGTGGCATTGCAGCTCGCCTTTCACCAGAGGCACGGAACAAGAAAGCCCATTTCTCTGGGCAGAGATCTTAGTGATAAAAGAGGAACAATGGCGGGAAAAACCCAACAAGGGTGCTGGAATAATATATCACAGCTGTTCAGCCAAGTGCTTTCCTGAAAGGGGAAAGGGGGGGAGCAAATCTCAAGGAAAAACAAACTGCTTTTCATATTCCCAACAATGAAGCAACGTTTTGCTGCTTCGGACATCAGTTTTATTGGCCCCAGGAGGTTCTGTGGTTCCTAAAGATTAGCATTCCCAAGGGAAATGTGTTAAGAAGTCAAAATCCAAGGTTCCCTCCCCCCCCCCAAATCCCCATTCTCATGTAATCATTCTTTTGAGCAGGTTTCCTCTTGCAGCTTTGCAGCGCACAGCTTGTGAAACTGCCCTCCAATTCTTCTCGCTCAAAAGAAGGGTGTTTTTATATTAAAAATGAAAAACGAAGTTTGAAGAATTCCACAGAGTCAAAACAGGAATTACACCAAGCTGGGTTTCCTTGACAGAAGCCCCACAACTAAGCTTTCTGCTTATTCAAAAAAGGAAAAAAACACCCTCTCCACAATTCAGGACAAAAAACAAAGCCCAAAAAACCCCTCGCATTACCTTAGATTGATTGCCAAATGGCAGAGACATCTAAAAAAAAAGCCTAGCAAAGGCTTCAAAGCTCCATCAGGAGAGGCAGATCCTGATCCCCTGCCTTGATTACAGATTTTGAATACAGAGATGTTTTTTGAGTTAGAAAAATATACAGTAGCTAAGCTTTCAAAGCTCTGGATCAACATTAAAAGCATTCAATCCTGGTTAAGCTGCTGGTAACAATGGCTGACCCAAGTGGACCAAAGGGCTAAGATGTTTATATTTATTTGTCCTTTAAGTGCTCCTTATTAGGCAATGGTTTTGTTGCAGCTGTTCATTTAAAGCAGCGGTGAGGAACCTCAGGCTGGGGCAGGCTCTTGAACTCTCCACCAGCCCTGCTTCACACCCCAAGTGTTTTAGCGTGGCTGGAACGCATTCTTGAACTCTGATCATTCCTCTTGCTTGTCTGGAGGACAGAGGGGGACGCATGCGAGTGTGTGTAGAAACCAACCTACAAAGGTAAAATCTGCATTCATTGCTCCGCCCACGTCTGCCTCTGGTCCTGCCCACCCCACCCCCACCCCACATGCCCACACACACCCCACTGGCTGCCCAGAAAGGCATGCTGGTTGAATAAGGTTCTCCATCTCTGATTTAAAGCGAAACAAATAGCGAACGTTTACAAGTGTGCATTGTTAAATCTAGACTAAGAGGAATAGTTTCAGCACGTTTGCATTATCAGACAGCAGCCTGGAAAGAGCTCTAGCACATTATACTTTTTGCAACTAATTGCTTAATTAACTAATAAGGAACAGGCAGCTCCATCTTTATTGAATCAGTATAAAAATATATAAATACCAGTGTACCTTTGAAATGTAAACATACCCCAGACAGTTCCATCAATCAAAATGCTACTTTTTGAATGAAATGACTTGCATAAAATGAGTTTGATTCCAACACCCCATGATTGTGAAGATCAACAGTCCTTTTCTCCCTTTTAATGCAAGAAAATTTAATTGAAGGGTGGTGTGTAAATGCTTATGATAAGGAAAACAAACAGCCTGCTTTGGTTGTGTTTATTCCTTCCTCCTCGCTCCCTGATTTATTCGTTACCTTTCTGAAAAATCAAGAGCAATTAAAAATAACACTCAACCCTGCCCATTTGACAGACTAAAACGTGCTGTCTGATTAGCAGGAGAACAGTTTGAACAAAAATAGTTTTTTTAAAAATACAAAACACAAAAGATGCTGGTTTCAAGGGCCATGTTAGAAGAGGCACACCCCCTTCTGCACCAGAAATTAAAGAGAAAGTCTAAAATGATGCCCATTATAACCAACTTGTGTCATCTGAAAACACAGAGAAAGTATACTCCCCCCCTCCTTCTTCAGAACAGGTGTTTGTCAGCTGCCTCCCTCCTTATGCCAGCCACCCTGTAAATTTAATTGATGGGCAGCATGAATGAAATTCATTTTGGGATAAGGGTGGACTGCATACATTCTTTGATATAATGCAAACAACTTGTACTCGGCATTTGCTCAGGAACTGCATGAAACAAAAACAAAAAAATCAGTGCAGTTTTCATTCCACTATCTTGATTCAAAATGGTGTCCAATCCTAATATATATATAAAAGTGATATCAGGAACCATAATTTGGTTATGGGATATTAAGAGGTGTCCAAATGCATAGCAAACAGATACACACATTTCTAAGGCATATAGCAGATACAAACTCATTGGAAATGGGATGTGGCATTTCGTTTTAAAAGCTTATACATACATACATACCCTTCTTTTCAGTCTCTCTCTCTCCTTCAGTGTCAAAGTGTCTGCCTTGGCAATCACAGGGACAATGTTGACTTTCCCATGAAGTGCTTTCATGAATTCTACGTCCAAGGGCTTCAGCCTGTGTATCAATTATTGGGGGGGAGGGGGAGGAAACCTCAATAATTATTAATGGAGTCCTGAGTGAAGATCTCCTTGGCAGCATCTTATGGATCATCTGTTATGTATCTAAAGTCAAAAAGATCCCAATAAGCAGCAGGGCCTTTGCAAATGCAGCCCTGGAACTCCAGAACACCCTTTCATGGGTGGTTCATTTATCTCCCTCTTTAATTCCACAAACAGAATTAGTCCTCTGCTCTTGTGGTTAGTCCTGCTGCTGATATTGTTTTGATAACCACTGGGGGGTTTTCTGGAGAGGATCACCAAACGTTGCTGGACCACAACTTCCATCGCCCCTGACCTGCTTTTATACTCAGTAGCTTCTTAAGCTAATGTTTTCGATATCATTGAGTAATTTTTAAAACAAACATTTCTCCCATTGAACTGCAATTCCCCCAAATTTAGATCTTGGTCTCTAACACTCATCTGCCATCACATCAATACAGTCGTACCTTGGTTGCCAAACCCCTTGGAACTCATACGTTTCGACTCCCAAACGATCGGAAACCAGAAGTGAGTGTTCCAGTTTTCGAATTATTTTCGGAAGTCGAACATCCGGCGTGGCTTCCATGGCTTCTGATTGGCTGCAGGACGCTCCTGCAGCCAATCGGAAGCCGTGTCTTTGTTTCTGAACAGTTCCGGAAGTCGAACGGACTCCCGAAACACATTCTATTTGAGAATCAAGGTACGACTGTATAGCCAAGCTGGCTGGGACTGATGGGAGTTGGTGTCTAGAAACTCTTAGAGGGCCATAGGTTCCCCTCATCATTGTTTTAGAGTGTTCAATATTTTCAATATTGTTATTTCAGTTGAGGGTAGGAGGGTGTACACCATTTTTAGAGTTTAAGCTGAAGTATAACTCTTGTAAGTTAAAGAAAGTTCTACTTTTGCTGGCAACAAACAGAACTTCCAAGACCCAGGTGAAAAGCAAAACTACTTACTTCAAATGTGGGTGGCTGACATGCTTAATTAAACTTTCCATTTACACATATGAAAAGACATAGTTATTACAACTTTTAAGTTTCTAGATAGTCATCCATTTTTAATATGTGCCCCTGACAAGTTTTAATAGCAAATCCTCTCTGAAATGGAGGTCATTAATCCCAAAGATGATTTTAATTGAGTTGGCCGACTGACAACAAAGAAACTTGCTTTGCTCGTAAGGTGGTTAAATCTCTTTGCTGGAATTTCCCCAGCGCCTGCTTAACGGTGAAAAAAAGTTCAGCCCTAGAATGCAAATCTTTTCTTACCCATGTCCAAAGGGGGATATGAAGTAAAAGCAGCAATGAACTCTGTTGTCTACAATATGGCGCCTATTGAGGCCGCTCTCGTCATGAAGGTACCTTTCAAACTGATTGTCAATGTAGTGGATGATGGTCTTGAAACTGCAGTGAGAGAAAAGGGAAAAGGAGGAACTTGTGATGAGACAGGTTTGCATCCACTTGTGAAATATTTAGTTTCCACTTCTTACTGCTTCTTCTCTAGAGCCCCTAACCTCAAGGCATTCAGAGCATGCTTCCTCACACTCTGTGCCTCCCATTTTTAATTCACAACCGCTAGTGGTGACTGGTGCCCACTGGGAGTGGGGTGGGGCAGGAAGTAGGAAGCCCAACAATAAGTTGAGCGTGAGCCAATGGGATGTGGAATCGATTCAACCTAGTTTTGTCCCCCTTCTCCTTCCAGCGATTCCCCTCACAGAGCTACACTTCCCAGAGTGGTTTAACAAGCAGAGAGCCTAGGACTTGCCAATCAGAAGGTCGGCAGTTCGAATCCCCATGACGGGGTGAGCTCCCGTTGCTTCGGTCCCTGCGCCTGCCAACCTAGCAGTTCGAAAGCACGTCAAAGTGCAAGTAGATAAATAGGTACCGCTCCGGCGGGAAGGTAAACGGCGTTTCCGTGCACTGCTCTGGTTGGCCAGAAGCAGCTTAGTCATGCTGGCCACATGACCCAGAAGATATACGCCGGCTCCCTTGGCCAATAAAGCGAGATGAGCGCCGCAACCCCAGAGTCGGCCACGACTGGACCTAATGGTCAGGGGTCCCTTTACCTTTACCTCCCTCCCAGGGAACCCTGGAAACTGTAGCTCTGTGTGGGGAATAGGGGTCTGTTAACAACTCTCAGCCCCTTTAAACTACAGTTCCCAGGATTCTGGGGAGAAGCCATGACTGTTTAAAGTGGTATGATATGTATTGTGTAGATGGGGCATAGTTCTGCCTTTGTTCCTATTTTCCTCTTTGTTGAATTCTACAAAGGCAATACTGACACTAAGGAGGAGGGGGGAGGTTGCTGACAGCCAGTGCCACCCTCTAGACTGGTTTAAAGTACTGTAATGAGGTAAGCATGTGGGGGCTGACTCAAGGCAGACTGATCTTGGTGGGGCTGCCGCATTATGGACCAACATAAAGCATTGTTTACAGCGCAACACGCAGCATGACTTGGACACGCGACAGTCAAATGCCAGCAGAATTAAGTACAAGTGAAAAAAGGAAGCCACCCACCCAAAGCAGGAACACTTTCAAATGGCTGACTAATTCTGAGTCACCTCTTTCGCAGCCCTTTCCCTTCCCTGCTTTCTCATGCTTTCCTTTAGGACTAGAGTTATTAGGGTTGCAAACCTCATGAAGCATCATACCTGATGTTTCTCTCCCTGCCAAATCTCAAACCCACCCCAATGTTGGTTCCGAACCTCAGGGTTTTCCGCCTGAAGTTTTTACGACCCAAAACATAACCAAGTTGAAAGCTGAGAAGGGCAGTGTTCACAATATAGTGCAAATACATGTTTGTGTATGTTTGTTTGTTGCTTGCATTTTTATCCCACCTATTTCTCCAAGAGACATCACCTTGCCAACAAAGTTCCGTATAGTTAAAGCTATGGTTTTCCCAGTAGTGATGTATGGAAGTGTAAGCTGGACCATAAAGAAGGCTGGATCGTCAAAGAATTGATGCTTTTGAATTATGGTGCTGGAGGAGACTCTTGAGAGTCCAATGGACTGCAAGATCAAACCTATCCATTCTTAAGGAAATTAGCCCTGAGCGCTCTCTGGAAGGACAGATCCTGACAGTGAGGCTCCAATACTTTGGCCACCTCATGAGAAGACTCCCTGGAAAAGACCCTAATGCTGGGAAAGATTGAGGGCACAAGGAGAAGGGGAAGACAGAAGACGAGATGGTTGGATAGTGTTCTCGAAGCTACCAACATGAGTTTGACCAAACTGCGGGAGGCAGTGGAAGACAGGAGTGCCTGGCGTGCTCTGGTCCAGGGGGTCACAAAGAGTCGGACACAACTAAACGACTAAACAACAACAACATTTCTCCAAGAAACTCAAGGTGGTATACATGATTGTCCCCTTCATTTAATCCCCAATACAACCCTCTGGGGTAGGTGAGGTTGAGAGGCAGTGAATGGCCCAAGGTCACCCAGTGAGCTTCACAGCCGAGTGGGGATCTGAACCCTGGGTCTCTAGGTCATAGCCTGACACTCTAAGCACTACACCACACTGGCTCTCTGAATGGGTGCCAAGAATTGCTTGAAGTGTAGGACTGTTAAGGGAAGCGGGGGACTCCTGAAGGGCAAAATGCCGGGGAAGGAAGAGTTAGGATTTAAAATGCAGGTGGTGGGTTTGGGATCAGGGTAGAGCAGGCTTCCTCTACCTCGGCCCTATAATTCCCATCATCCCTGACCACAGGTCCTGCTGGCTAGGGATCATGGGAGTTGTAGGCCAAAAACATCTGAAGGGCTGAGGTTGAGGAAGCCTGGGGTAGAGGGTGGATATGGTTCTTAGGTAATGGGCAGAGAGGACCTTTTCAGTGGTGGCATCCCAGTTGCAGAATGCCCTTCTCAGAGAGACTTGCCTGGTATCTACATTATGGCCTCTTTGGCACCAGATGAAGACCTTATTAATTTTCCAAGGTGTTTCAAATTCTTAAGAACATCTGGTGCTTTTTAATACTGTTTTATATGACTGACTGGTGGTGTTATATCTACTTTTATTGTGATTAACTTTTATTGTGATTAACTGCATATTTTTACACCATTTTAGAAAACATTGTTCACTGCCCAGAACATATCAGTTATTAAAGGTATTCAAATGATGTATTATTTTATTTTACTGTATTATATTATTTTACTGTTGTTAGCCATCTGAGCCCGGCTTTGGCTGGGGGAGGGCGGGTTATAAATAAAATTTTATTATTTTTATTATTATTATTATGTAAATACAGTGGTGCCTCGCAAGACGAAATTAATTCGTTCCGCAAGTTTTTTCTTCTTGCGAGTTTTTCGTCTTGCGATGCACGGTTTCCCATAGGAATGCATTGAAAATCAATTAATGCGTTCCTAGGGAAACCACCTTCAGACCAGGTCCGGGGACAGTCTGTCCCCCGACCTCTTCTGAAGGCTGGGGGGGGGGACAAGGGCTTTTTCCCCACTGCCAGCCTTCAGAAGGCTGTTCTGAAGGCTGGCGGTGGGAAAAAAAGCCCTTCTTCCCACCTCCCGCCCCGCAAGCTCCGGGGACAGGAGGGCTTTGCTGCCGACCGCCAGCATTTTAAAAGCCCCTGCTGTCCCGGGGCGATTTTAAAATGCTGGCGGGCGGGAGCGAAGTCTCTGCTGTCCCGGGGAGATTTTAAAATGCTGGGGGGCGGGAGCGAATGCTTCGCTCCCGCCTGCCAACATTTTAAGATCGCCCGGGGCAGCAGAGACTTCTCGCCCGAAGCAAGGGGAGCTCTCCGAAGGGCTCCCCGTACTTCGGGTGACAGGCTGCCGCCCCAAGCCTCGCGCACCCGGTGGGACCTCCTGCCGGGTGCGCGAGGCTTGCTGACACTCGCCCGAAGCAGGGGAAGCCCTCCGGAGGGCTCCCCGTGCTTCGGGCGACAGGCTGCCGCCCCAAGCCTCGCGCGCCCGGCGGGACCTCCTGCCGGGCGCGCGAGGCTTGCAGACACTCGCCCAAAGATTTTAAAATGCTGGGGGTCGGGAGCGAAGCGTTCGCTCCCGCCCGCCAGCATTTTTAAGATCGCCCGGGCAGCGGAGAAGTCTCCGCTGTCCCGGGAAGGCAGGCGGGGGGGAGCAAAGACTTTTGCCCCCCGCCGGCCTTCAGAAGAGGTCCAGGACCTCTTCTGAAGGCCGGCTGTGGGCGAAAGTCTTTGCTCCCGACCGCCAGCAATTTAAAACAGGTCCCGGAGATTTCCCTATGGGCTTTCGTCTTGCGAAGCAAGCCCATAGGGAAATTCGTCTTGCGAAGAGCCTCCAAAACAGAAAACCCTTTCGTCTTGCGGGTTTTCCGTCTTGCGAGGCATTCGTCTTGCGGGGTACCACTGTAAATGGAAGTTTCCTATTTTGGGAGTTTCTGTGTAAATAGTTCTTTTGAAAGTTCTACTACAAGCAATACTGCACTCACCTACAAACTGAGATTATTTGTCTTCAGTTCCCTTATGACTAAGGCAGTGTTTCCCAACCGGTGTTCCGCGGCACACTAGTGTGCCGCGATACGTTGCCTGGTGTGCCGCGGGAAAAATTGGTGGGGGGGGAATAAAGGGGAAAAAAATTTATTCCCCCACCGCCAGGCGTGGGGCTGGGGCGGGGGAAGCCCGAGCTTCCCCCTCCCCCAGAACGGGACCCAGAGCCATGCCGAAGCTGCGCGCAGCTTTGGCATCGCTCTGGGAGCTTGCGGGGCTGGGGGAGGAGGAAGCCCTCCGCCAGCCTCCAAACCATGTCGGGAGACAGCGGGATGGCGCGCTGCACCTCTCCCGCTGTCCCCCGAGTTTGCAGGGCTGGCGATGGGGAGGAGCAGGCTTCTCCCCCCGCCAGGCCTTCCAGCCAAGTCGGGGGGCAGCGGCAAGGGCGCGCTGCGCCTCTCCCGCTGTCCCCCGAGTTTGCGGGGCTGGCGACGGGGAGGAGCAGGCTTCTCCCCCCGCCAGCCTTCCAGCCAAGTCGGGGGGCAGCGGGAAGGGCGCGCTGGGTTTCTCCGCTGTCCCGGACGGCTTTCAAAAGCCTGCCTTCAAAAGCCGTCCGGGACAGCGGAGAAACGCGCTGCCTTTCTCTGCTCTCCCGGGAAGGCAGGCAGGGGGGAGCAAAGACTTTCGCCCCCGCCCACCTTCAGAAGAGGTCCAGGACCTCTTCTGAAGGCGGGCGGGGGACGAAAATCTTTGTCCCCCCTGCCTGCCTTCCCAGGGGCTTTTAAATCGCCCCGGACAGCGGAGAAGTCCTCCGCTGTCCCGGGCGATTTTAAAATGCCGCCCGCTAGAGGTCCAGGACCTCTTCTGAAGGCCGGCGGGGGGCAAAAGTCTTTCCTCCCCCCTGCCTGCCTTCCCGGGAGAGCAGAGAAAGGCAGCGCGTTTCTCCGCTGTCCCCGACGGCTTTTGAAGGCAGGCGGGGGGGAGCAAAGACTTTCACCCCTGCCTGCCTTGCCGGGAGAGCGGAGAAACGCACTGCCTTTCTCCGCTCTCCCAGGAAGGCAGGCAGGGGGGAGCAAAGACTTTTGACCCCCGCCGGCCTTCAGAAGAGGTCCAGGACCTCTTCTGAAGGCGGGCGGGGGGCGAAAATCTTTGTCCCCCCTGCCTGCCTTCCCAGGGGCTTTTAAATCGCCCCGGACAGCGGAGAAGTCCTCCGCTGTCCCGGGCGATTTTAAAATGCCGCCCGCTAGCATTTTAAGATTGCCCCGGACAGCGGAGAAGTCCTCCGCTGTCCCGGGGTTTTTTAAAATGCTGGGGGTGGGAAGAAAAGCCCTTGTCCCCCCCCCCCCCAGCCTTCAGAAGAGGTCGGGGGACAGACTGTCCCCGGACCTGGTCTGAAGGCGGTTTCCATAGGAACGCATTAATTGATTTTCAATGCATTCCTATGGGAAACCGTGCATCGCAAGACGAAAAACTCGCAAGACGAAGAGACTTGCGGAACGAATTAATTTCGTCTTGCGAGGCACCACTGTATCCGGAGAGGCGGCCTTCAGGCGAGTTTTAATTTTAATTTTCCTTCTCCCACTTAATGCCCCACGCTCGCCCGAGCAGCTTGCAGTCCTCGGTAACCACGGCGACCCGAGGGAGGGGAGGGAACAGGGAAGTCGAGGGCGGCGGCGAGCTGCGATGACGTCAGTGGGCCGCGCCGCCTCGCCCTGGCACGGTGTGAGAGCCCCGGCTAGTGGCGCGAGCTTCAGAATAAGTGGGATCCGCGTGCACGAGACCGAGATTGCGGGTAAGGATCTCAGCCCTGGGCAGGAGGAAGCGGGGCCGCGCGTGCGGGCCACATCCCCACAGAGAGCGAGCCTCCCCCGGCCCACCACTCCGGGCAGGTCCACTCGCATGAGGGGGCGGCGATGGCGACGGCCGGCAGCTTGCCTGCAATGCCATCCCTCGAGCAGGCGAGGAGCCCGGAGGCTACCAGATGCGAGTCCTCTTTCCCACCCTGCTCGGGAGTCCAGAGCACTTGGTCGCATTCAGGATCTAGAGTGGGGAAGCGGGGCTTGTGTCTGGGCTGGACACATTGGGCTGCCTGTGCCGCTCGACCTGCGGGGAGAAATCAGGGTGGGAGTCACGACCGTGAGGCAGGGCTGCCAAGTGTGGCAGAAGAGGACACGGCCGTCGCACCTGTCCTTAGGTAGGAGCTTCTTCCGTGTCGACCTGCTGCCCTAAAGTCTTGGCTTTTTTCTTGGCTTTTTGGCGGTTGGCACAGAAGGAAGGCAAGGGGGAGGGGAAAAAATTGAAACTTACACTTTCGTGCGTCCCTCCCGGCGTGACGCTGCGCGCTGACGTCACGGGGCTGTAATGGTGGTGTGCCTCGAGATTTTTTTCATGAAACAAGTGTGCCTTTGCCCAAAAAAGGTTGGGAAACACTGGACTAAGGGACGCGGGTCGCGCTGTGGGTAAAAGCCTCAGTGCCTAGGGCTTGCCGATCGAAAGGTCGGCGGTTCGAATCCCCGCGGCGGGGTGCGCTCCCGTTGTTCGGTCCCAGCACCTGCCAACCTAGCAGTTCGAAAGCACTCCCGGGTGCAAGTAGATAAATAGGGACCGCTTACTAGCGGGAAGGTAAACAGCATTTCCGTGTGCGGCTCTGGCTCGCCAGAGCAGCGATGTCACGCTGGCCACGTGACCCGGAAGTGTCTTCGGACAGCGCTGGCCCCCGGCCTCTTGAGTGAGATGGGCGCACAACCCTAGAGTCTGTCAAGACTGGCCCGTACGGGCAGGGGTACCTTTACCTTTACTTCCCTTATGACTAAAAACTGTTCAATTAGCAAATCCTGTTCTGCCTCCCACAGAAGTCACATCCAGGCACCCACCCCCAAAGCAAAGGGTTCATGGTGAGACGGCGATAGTACACACGTATACCAAGCTTCCTCCATTTTTCTACCTCCACAAGAATTACAAAAAAGTTTGGCAATGCAAGGGAAGTGGGGCTGATGAAATATGATCAGGAGGGAAAACCTCAGCGTGTTGTGCCAGAAAAACTCTACTTAGCGCTTCTCTGTCACTGTAATTTGCTTACGTGCTGCTTTCAAGTCCTCACTGCTGTTCCGTTTTTCTGTAAGTGTAAGTCAGCAGTGAATTGTACATTCCACCTTCCGGGAAGCACCTGCTTTCCACCACGACAGTATCATTAGTTAAACAACTCCATATCCTGTACTATGCATTACAACAGCAAACAAAGCAATCTTTTTTTTTCCCATAGGGAAAAAATGGTTTTTGAGAAAATGAAATAAACCGAATGTTGCCAAAACACATGCCCTCCTTCCACCTAACAAGGCAGCAGCCCAGAAGACTGGTCTTGTTGTAGCGGAACAAAAGGTTCAGAACAGAGGAAATATCACCTGACACCTTTTATTTAACACAGAGCCACATGACAGGTTTAATATAGCCACTAGAGTCCTAGAACGGCAAAGGCATTTTTAAAAAGTATGTATCACTTTTCTTACATGCTCATAGCACGTCACACTATATTATTCCTGCTATCCTTAATGACAAACCCATAAAATAAGCCGGTATTATACGGTATGACAGATGAGCTGGGCAAATGAGGCCTGAGACTAAGGAAACAATGTTTGATCACAGCTTCCTGGTGAGTATATAGCTGGAATGTCCCCCAATTTCATCGTTCTGCTACGCTAACTCTCAGTTGGGACATAACAATGACGCTGTAGGCAGAATATCAGTCTTCCATTGGATCCTGCCTAAGGGATTATTCCCAGGAAAATAGTCAAGATAGACTAGCAGATGAGGGTTCAAGTGGGAAGACAAAACAAGAAGTGGCACAGAAGACTGGTCTTCAACAGTGGGTCACACCCTGAGCTCGGGTAAGTTGTGCCAGGAGGCCAACATTTTCAGGGACATGCTGTGTAAATATGTGATATATTGCTTTCTTAAAAGTATAAATACTTTGAGAAGATAGTTTTTACAAACCCTAGAACATTCTTATTGACTCTGGAAAGAAAGGGAATTGAAGCCTCCAACGTGGGGAGGTGGGAGAAATAATAGTTTCTACATAGCCCTTGTAATCCTATTCTGCAAATTTAATCCTCTGTTGCAAATTCAACAACAGTAATGCAATGATGGACCATCTTGCTGCCTGCCGCTTGCTCGGCCTCCCTGCCGGAAAAAGTGGGTGGGGATTCAAACTCGCAGGATTCGCAAGAAACATTTCCGAAGAATAAACACGGCATCAGAACACAATCAACAGGAAGTCCTACTTGCAACACAATAGCCAAGCTAAAGGGGCTTGGAGATCCCACAGAAGGAAATTCCAAGTCAACCATTACAGAAAATGTTAAAAGCAATCCTGCGCAGAAAGACTAAGAAAATCACTCCAGGAAAGTATAATTATTTACCAATACTGTGCAGGCCAAAGCAGTAGGATACGTAGCATCTGCTTGAACTATTGTTTTTCAACACAACAATCAGGAAAGTCGGTTGCTCCCAGTTTACAGCATTCATTGGAGTGAACCTCTACAGAGGCATTGAACTAGGGCTGCTATGTGTACGGAAAATCCCGGACATCGCCAGAATTTCGCTTCCAAAAATGGCGTCTGGGCAAAATATGTGATTTACGTTTAAAATGTCTGGGAACACCTGGACATATGGCAACCTATGTCTCCAGCCAGTCATCCACCATGAGCACGCAGGATGGATCCACACCAAAGCGCTCCACAACGCACTCGAACATATACATGTTTGGCTTCCCAATTACCATTGCTTTGCGCTCAGATGCTGTTTCAACTGCAGCAGTGAGACTCCCTGTCCCTGGAGTGCACTGCTCGCTGCGGGAGAAGCGGTGCTCCAGCTTGGGCACCGAGCAGTGGCTGTTGTTGGAGACGAAGAGGGTGGCCTTCTCATTGTGGCTGAGGCGCTCGATTGCCTCCCCCAGAAAATAGGTCAACTGTTTTGTCTGGGTTTTCACTTTCTGAAATATGGCAATGCTACATTGAACTCCCTATGCCAGTGGTTTTCAACCAATGCCTTGAATGATGGTCAGGGGTGCAACACTGGCCTCCATCCCTCTTTCCTTCCTTCCCTCCCTCCCTCTGATGCCCTCTCATGTCTCTGCCTCTCAAAGGCTTGCACAGCTGTCTGTTGCAGCCCTGGCTACAAACTCCGGAAGCGAATGGTGCCTCTGGGGCTGGCCAGGGAGTGCTGGTTGCCAGGAGCTGAGGCAGCCCTTGCTGTTGGGAATGGACAGACAAGTCATAGGCCCTTGTGAGGAGGTACCTCTCTTGGGGGCAGGGGGGCAGCTCAGAGGCCATGGGTGGCAGGAACACTCCGCAAGGGAGCGTGTTCGAAAAAGCGTGAGCGGGGGCCAGCTCTGCAGGCAAGGGGTGAAATAACTGGGCTCCTGAGCCCCACAGGGGTGCCGCAGAAAGTATGTAGTTGGTCAAGGCAGCCGTGGACTCAAAAAGGTTGAAAACCTCTGCCCTATGCAACACCTGATGTGTGTGGGGGAGGATGTTTAATCAAGCTTTCTTCAGGGTTCGGGGAGTTTGGGAACTGACTGGTGCACCCAACCCGAGCAGGAGTGAACTTCCTACACATCATCTGATGCATGGGGAGGCTCAATCCTGCTTTTTGAAGCTGCGTCACTGCTGCCTAATCCCCAGCACCGACAGGAAGACATGAGAGTTAAAACAGTTTAAAGCATCACCAAAGCTGTATACAACAGAATGGAAGCCTGGGACAGATGTGAAGATTCAGCATCACAACCTGAGGATATAACATACCAGTCTTGGCTATTAATGGCATCTCCATATCCTGGAGTGTCGACTACCGTGAGACGGAGTTTCACCCCTCGCTCCTCTATTTCTACGGTGGAAGCTTCAATCTGGACCGTTCTCTCTATTTTCTCTAGAAGAGAAATGTCATATAATGTTAAAAGTTTCCTGGCCAACAAAGCAGTAAAATGTTATTCAAACTACTGAGGGAGGGAGGGAGGGAATATATAATAGAAATTAGGCTGGAAATGACATCCCACACAAAAGAAATGCTTCCTATGTCAAGTCTGAATCCCCAAGGATTCCTGTGTATCCAATGCATGTGCCCAACCTTTACTGAGAATTCCTCAGTGGTTGCCCTCAAAGAACTCAAAAGTAGCATGAGGATTTTGATGATTCTGTTGTAGCCACGGAGACCACCCTGTTCCATGTCTCACAGCCACCTGATGGTGCAGAGGGTGAGAATGAAGAAGAAGGCATTCTCGCTGACAGCTCCCTGGCTATGGAAACCCTTGCCCCATGAAACCCAGGTGATGCCCTTCCTTTTCACAGTCAGGAATGAGGCTAAGGCAATACTATACAGAAGTGTGTTTCATCCAGCTCCTCTTTAATCTGTTTCAGTTTCAGTTTGGCTGCTGTGTTTTTAGGTCACAAAGCACTCTTAAGGCCACTTTGACAGGCACGGAAAATCCTGGGAACTGTAGTGCCCACCTCACAGAGGTACAGTTCCTTGCACTCTTAACAAACTACAGTTCCCAATAGTCTCTAGGACTGTCAAAGCGGTCTAAGAGTGCTTTAAATACGTGGTGTGGATATGATAGTATTACTGCTGTTTGCAATTTGGCAATCCTACAAGCCTATTTGGGAGTTCAACCCAGCTCTATAATCATGTATTGCAGGAAAGTGGGGAAACCTAACAGGCTCATTGAGAACACATGTCTGTATAGGGCAGCCTGCTTAAAGTACTCAGGTTGCCTCCCTATGACTTAGAACTCTGGGCAGTCAGGGTTCTAAATCACAGGGGTAACTTAAGAGCAGGTCTCCCTCTATAGAGGAAACCCCCCCCATGCCATGGGGCCTGGGAGTGGGGCTGGTAGGACTCAGGATGGGGTTAGGGCCAGGAAGGATAGTCATGATGTCCCACTTCCACACAATAGCACTCACATAGAGTGAACACCCAAATAGAGTAATTGTGTTATGGTTAATGGTTGCTTTACTGCCACTTATATGGTTTTATGGTGGCTGTTAGTTGTCCTGTGGTGTCTCAGTTGGGGTGAAACAGTTCAGAAAGCAAGACTGAAGCTGCCTCGGGCATGCAGAACACAGTGAGTGGCCCTTGAGGATCCTGTCAACTGGCTAGTTTATGGCACTTCATTCCAAAAAGAATGAAGCTTTTTTTTCTTTTTCTTTTAAGTCATTCCTTAAAGGATAGATAGGCAGAACACTGTGGGAAATTAGAAGACAACCAGGGTAGACAATATAACAATTTCAGCGACAAGTGAGAAGTACTTTGAAGTCAAACAACAGAAGCAGTGATGCGAAAAAGAACATGGGACAAAAGGCAGAAAGAAGACAAGTTGAATGGGATATGGAACAATTTGCAACATGCTCCTTATATAATGATGTACAAAAGGTGCACGCCAGGATATATATTTATTAGGACTGCAATATTAATTGAGCCAATCAGTCCATGAAAAATCTTGGACTCAGTAAATCGAGTTTTGCATCCATGTCAATCCTCCAAACCCACCTGTTGCACTTATAATCTCTCACTGTCTTTTCCTCTGTCTTAGAAGGAGGCAGAGATCCCTTGTCTTTCTACAAACTCCAGCAGATGACAAGGGAACTCTGCTTCATACTAAGCTGGGGAGATGAAAAACAGTAACTTCCACCTCAATAGTGGGCTAATACTTCAGCATGTCTATACTATTCAATCAAGCATTTCTGCACCCTGGCGCACTTTGAGGATGAACTGGATGTATTAGCGCATGTGTTAGGCTGAATCATTTGCAATGGCAGGTTGCGAACTGCATTCAGAGGCATAACAGTCCTTCTAATGGCAAACTCAGAGGCAAGTGCCAACAAAAATATGAGTGGAACCGTGTATATTGCCATCCCACCGGCTTTTGAAGATGTACCTGAACCTTCTGTTTTAATTTCTCCATAGCTTTATTCTCTATTTTAAGTAACAATGTTTGTATAACTGGTTTTTCTAATTCATGAACCCCTTACAATCTTATTTTGGCATTAAGTAGTATAAATAATAGCCAAAAGCAGACCACTGAGAAACAAAGAGAGGTATCTACATGCAGAAATATGAAAATGTAAGAAGGGGAGAGAAAAAACCACCCACAATTGTTTACAATTAAGAGTGTACATGTGCTATAACCTCAATATCTGCTTTTTAGGTTCTACATGCGTTATAAGCCACTTGGAGACCTTTGCACAACAAGCAGCTAATAATAATGTTGAATAGCAGCTGGGGAGAGCAGAATCTTCTGCTTGAGCCTCAGACCCAATGGGCCAAATGCAGAATGTGGCCCTCCAGCCCTCTCTACCCAGGCCTTGAAACTCTCCCAAGGCTGCCCTCCTTCCCTAGGCCACTCCACACACCCTTTCTGCCTAGCTGGTATACATCTTGGTGAAGGTGTTTCTCACCTGCCCAGGTGGAAGTAGGCTGCATATGGGAGTGTAGAAGCCTTTGACTTTTGAGAGGCTGCAATGTAGCCTACTGTGCAGAAGTTAGTGTCACAGTTATGCCCCACCCATTTTTGACTCTGGCCTGGCCCAATGCCTGGCCCATCCCTGGCCCAGGCATGCAGCCTGTGGAAGGTGCTCCAACCCTGGTTTATAGTATCAGGGGAGGGAAGCAGGAGAGAAATGGCTTCCCAGCTAGAATGAACCCCAGACAGACACACTCCTACTAGGAAGTGCAGTTATTCTTCCATCAGAGGTCTTCCATTTAATACACCTCAATCACTTAATTCATTGATTAAATCTACAGTTTGTTGTTGGTTGTTGTTTTTTTAATGAAGCTACAGCCCTGATATTTATGAAAAGAAGTCTATCATCATCAGTACATAGGAACAGCCTTGTGCAAGCGAAATATCAGAGGAAGCAAAGCATGTGAAATCAGAAAGCAAGCGTTAGGAACAAACCGATTACCTGCAGCTCCAGGAATGTAACGTTCAGGATAGAGATCAGTCAGAAATAAACTGTTGATTAAAGTGGATTTTCCCAAGCCAGATTCACCTGTAAATGAGATGGATGTTTAATTCCTGGAATAATTCCGCCCCCCACTTTCATGCAAGCCACAGGTTTATCTCTTACGGCCAGTATCCACCCTGGTTTTATAAGATAACGACATCAAAGGCTTTCCTAAGCTTAGCTAAAGTAAACAGGAAAAACAAGCCTGAGGAAAGTGAGCTGTGTGAATTCTAAATTTAATCCACCTATTTTCATAACGCAACCCTTAAGGCCAAATTAAGTGCTCTAATCAAATACCTACAAGACAAGCATCATTCCAGCACTTTCTCTACAGTTCCTGTTTTTATTTGATTCACGTTTATCTCTTGATATCACGTAAGTTCATGCATCACCACCACCCCACACTCAAAAAAGCAAAAGTTGGGGTGAATGGCTATGGAGGAAATTTGGTCTCCTAAAATCAGTCACACAGCATTAGTCCATCCATTTCTGAGGTAAAAGGTAAAGGTAAAGGTACCCCTGCCCGTACGGGCCAGTCTTGACAGACTCTAGGGTTGTGCGCCCATCTCACTCAAGAGGCCGGGGGCCAGCGCTGTCTGGAGACACTTCCGGGTCACGTGGCCAGCGTGACAAGCTGCATCTGGCGAGCCAGAGCCGCACACGGAAACGCCGTTTACCTTCCCGCTAGTAAGCGGTCCCTATTTATCTACTTGCACCCGGGGGTGCTTTCGAACTGCTAGGTTGGCAGGCGCTGGGACCGAGCAACGGGAGCGCACCCCGCCGCGGGGATTCGAACCGCCGACCATACGATCGGTAAGTCCTAGGCGCTGGGTTTTACCCACAGCGCCACCCGCGTCCTGCCCCACAGACATAGAAGGGGACATTTTGGCAAGCCTACCTCCACCCTGAAAAAAAAAACCTGGAGCCATTTCCCTCTGCCTTCTGTGTGACCCTGGCAGCTCTTTCGACATATGAAGGTTCTGACTAGGGATGGAAGAATCTGCCAGTTTTGCTCCTCTCAGTTTCCTATCTTAAATTCGGTTCCCCACATTTCTGCAGCAATTCATGGTTTTCGTATATATATTTTTTAAAAATCCTCACAAAAATTCTTCAACATTTCAGTGCAAACTTCTCCACACATTATTGTGTACATTTTTGACTGAATGTACACATTTTTGCAAGCAGCTTCTCTTAACATAATGCATTTCCGTATGTTATTTTCCCTAATGTATTCCTCTTTATGCACGCTTTTACCTAATATATCCATTTTTGGAAGCATTGTTTGGTCAGAGAAGGTAAAGGTAAAGGTACCCCTGCCCGTACGGGCCAGTTTTGACAGACTCTGGGGTTGTGCGCCCATCTCACTTAAGAGGCCGGGGGCCAGCACTGTCCGGAGACACTTCCGGGTCACGTGGCCAGCGTGACAAAGCTGCATCTGGCGAGCCAGCGCAGCACACGGAACGCCGTTTACCTTCCCGCTAGTAAGCGGTCCCTATTTATCTACTTGCACCCGGGGGTGCTTTCGAACTGCTAGGTTGGCAGGCGCTGGGACCGAGCAACCGGAGCGCACCCCGCCGCGGGGATTCGAACCGCCGACCTTTTGATCGGCAAGTCCTAGGCGCTGAGGCTTTTACCCACAGCGCCACCCGAGATGTGGTCAAAGAACCACATCACAAAATTTGGACTAAGTGTGAATTTCAAACCATGACTGCGTTTCAGTTCTCATATTCTTTCAGAAAGTGCAAATTTGATAGATTTGGCTTTAATTTTTATTTTATTTAAATGCAAACCAAATCAAATTTCTCCCCCATTCCACAACTGTGTCTCGAAAGAATTTTGACCATTCTTGTAAGTTTCCCAAGTGCCCTCATAGACCACTTAGAGGAAGTGAGTCAGAGGGAGTTTTGGTGGTGTTAAAACCTAACCGCAGTCAATCTTGGTACAAATGACTTTCCAATAATAGTCTACGTTCAGTGTCTTCATGACATAATCTCTAACCGCGAGAAAATGTTCTCTCACTAGCAGCTTCCCTAAACAGACCAAAGTGGACAGCACTTGTGAAATAATACACGTATGTACCAACATTTATCGGCCTAGTTGAGACGTAAGTCACCAAACCGCATCTAGGAGATTGGGTGCAACTCGCAAACTTGGTCACTTTCATCTCCCTCCCTCCCTCAGGCCCCAATTTCCTCCAACTTCTCTTTTTGGATCCAACTAGGGTACATTTGTATCTGCCCACAACTAGACATGGTCCACTTAAATGCAACCAAAGTTAGGAACAGAAGCAGCGATGGCCACCGGTTTCGATGGCATTAAAAGAGGATTTGACAAAATTCATGTAGGATGAGGCTATCAATGGCTACACCTACAAAAAGGAAAGCAGGGGGAGGAAGGAAGAGCTCACAAGCTTGAGGGTCCTTTCAAACTTTCAACTATGGTTTGGGTAGCTGCTGGAAGATTACATCTGCATTGGGCCTCATTTCCAAGCTTCCATTCATGGTGCCTCCCAACTGCCTGCATTTTGCAGAAGCAATTCCAACACAAACCAGATGTTTAGGTTTGCGTAAGTGAAGTGGAATAAAGCATTCTGTCATGATACACACACATACACACAAACCCTGGACTTTCTGCAGTTTGGAAATTGATGGGGAAATGCACTGAAAAGCGTGGGATGGAGGAATGACTAACTGGAAGAGGTGAAAACACTCTGCAAGCATACTGTATAAAAATGAATGCAAAATGAATTATCATTGTTGTGTAACGGGGTGGGGAGCCTCCAGCCCAAGGGCAAATGCAGCCCTCAAGGCCTCTCCATCTGACCCTCATGACTCTCCCCAGGCTACATCCTCTCTTGCCAGGTCACTTCCCTCACTGACCCTCATCACACCCCAATTGTTCTTTCCAGGCTGGAATGTCTACTTGAACTGGAGGAAAACTCAGTCGGTAGAACATGAGACTCTTAATCTCAGGGCTGTGGGTTCAAGCTCCACCTTGCGCAAAAGATTTCTGCATTGCAAGGTGTTGGACTAGATGACCCTTGTAATCCCTTCCTACTCTTACGATCTTATGATCTAAGAACTCCGATAACGCCTCTTGCTTGCCTGGTTGGAGGATGGAGAGGGATGTGTGAGTGTATGTAAAAACTAACCTGCTGTACAAAGGTAAAATCTGCATTCAAACACAGATTGGTTTCAAATCATAAAGTTATTATTATTATTTAGAAGACATCTGAAGGCAGCCCTGTATATGGAAGTTTTTTTAATGTTTAATGTTTTATTATGTTTTTATATATATTGGAAGCTGGGGCAATCCAATCAGATGGGTGGGGTTCTGATAATAATAATAATACAAATACAGTGGTACCTCGGGTTAAGTACTTAATTCGTTCCGGAGCTCCGTTCTTAACCTGAAACTGTTCTTAACCTGAAGCACCACTTTAGCTGATGGGGCCTCCTGCTGCCGCCGCGCCACCGGAGCATGATTTCTGTTCTCATCCTGAAGCAAAGTTCTTAATCCAAGGTACTATTTCTGGGTTAGCGGAGTCTGTAGACTGAAGCGTATGTAACCTGAAGCATATGTAACCTGAAGTGTATGTAACCCGAGGTACCACTGTACTACTACTACTAATATTCATTGCTCCGCCCACTATTGCACCTTGCATCATAGGCCCTCAGAAAGTTGCCCAGAAGAGAACTGCCCTTTGGGCTGAAAAGGGTTCCCTTCCCCTGTCATATAACCTTCCTGAAAGCAAATCCCTATGTGCAAATGGTAGAGGTTGAAACTGGGGTCTTCTCCATGCAAAGCAGACGCCCTGCCACTGAGCTATTTCCCTTCCTTCACCAGCAACGGCAGGAAGGCTGTGCCTCTTTAGTGAGATACTAACTTCAGTGCTCTTTACCTCGTCTCTTTCCCCACCCCCCAAGAACAGGGACAGACAATTCACAGGAAGAAATCCAGACTGAACTAGCTTCCATATGTCAGTTTCAACAATAGATTTCCACACAAAAAGGAGGAAGAACTGATGGAGACACACACAAAATAAAGATATATATTTAACAGCCTAAAATAGTCTAATAATGAAGTGCTTATAAAAAAAGAAGGGGGGGAGCACCTACCAACCACCATGAGGGTGAACTCAAAACCTTTCTTGACAGACTTCCTGTGGACTTGGTTGGGGAGATTGGCAAAGCCTACATATCCTGCCGAGTCAGAAAACTGAGGAGACGGAGAAAAACAACAAAAGTTGTGAACTGGACATGGAAGTCGGTTGTAACAAAAGCACAGGGGTTTTATGACGAAAGCACACAAAATGAACCAAGAAAGAATCAACACAAATCGGCAGGACCACAGAGTTGGATGTTTTGACAGAAGTGGAACAGCAAGAACAATAACTCATGTTTCCTCTTTTCCTGGGTCTCATGTAAATGTTGCATGGGAGGAAATGTTCATGTCATCCCCAAATTTGGAGAACGTGCCCTCTACACACGGAGTGCAGACATCCTGCCCTCACGCAGACTTAGCCACACTTCCTCTTTTGCCACTTCTTGTGTGTGTCGGAAGTGGCACAAAGTTCTCTTAATAACCAAATTACTGCTTAATAACCCAACTCATGTTTGAGAATTGTGTGGTTTATACCCAACTGCTGACTATGCAGCAAAAGATGGCTGCTGGAAGGCTAACCTTCTGCTCAAATCAATGTCATATAGGACTGTACAGCAGGAGTGGGTAACCCTTTCTGGATAGTGGGCCAGATCACTATATCTCTATCCCAGGCAGGCCAAATTTGACAGCTGACCACCTGGCAATCACACAATGTCACAGTAATGTCAGGTGGTGCTGCGCTTTAAAGCCTTGGTTGTCGGGGCTTCAAAGAGCATCCCAGGGGCTGTTTTGAAAGTCCTTAACATGCAGCCCCACGCTCACAAGTCAGGAACACACATACAAGCAATGTTGCTAGCACAGCGTTCTGGTAAGGTCTGCCACAAAACCCATTCTACTTACCTTCACTTTCTCACCAGATTGAGACATGTTCTCGCACTCCAAATTTTCAGAGCCTGGATAGGGGTGGGAGGAAGAGAATAGGAACAAAGTCTGTGTTAAATGGGAAAGCCAAGAATTCATCTCATCATTTTTACTACTATGGCACAGGAAACCAAACAGATGCAGTCCCTCACCCACCTCTGACTATGGAAATACGTGTTAGGAGAAAGGACTGTTCTGTCCATTATTTGGTATCATTTATTTTATTATCTGTAGAGTGATGGCAACAGGTTCGTTTTAAGTTTTTTGAGTCCCCATCGATAAGTTAATTGAACCAGCTACCAGTGGCTGACTTGCAGCTGTTTTATGCAGATTGTGGGATTGGTTTTAGTGCTGATTTGTCATTATGTGCTTTGTTTTTAATGTTGCTTATTCTGTTGTACGTCTCCTAGAGTGTATTATATTGGGTGACTCACAAATAATAAATACTGTAAATAAATTTACTATAACCAAGTTGGAAGCAGCAAACAAAGAAAACATCATTTTGCAAATGAGACAAGAGCATGGCTCTTCAAGCAGTAGCTTCTGACTCTCAGCTAAGTTGCAATCTGATCAAAAGGGAAAAGAGAAAGGAGAATTTGAATAAGTACTATGGCTCTCACCACCAAGCTGGTGCCCTCCAAATCTTTTGCACTACAAATCCCATCAGTGTGAGCCAGCAAAAGTAAGTCTGTAGATCACTTGCTTCTTGTGTTGTAACTGGCACCAAGAGATACATTAACTATCTTTACAGAATTATATCAACTTGCATTGTTGCTTTTTGAGCCCTCCAAGTTGGGATAACCAGCCTCATATAACCAACATGCTTAAGTCTAATTCATGCATAAAGGGTTTAAGACCATAGAGTAAGCTGTTCTGCTAGGCTTAGCTCACCTTGGGAGGGACTAGGTAAGCAAGCCTTTGTTCCCCTTTCAGTCTACCTAAGAAGTTCAACATATGAGCTTCTTGCTCGAAGCTCAGACCACATGGCTCTCAGAAGCCACTCGAGTTCCTATGCCAATAATTTAGGAATTTTCACCACTGTAACTAAGCCAGGACTAGCAGATTCTTATGTTTCTGGATTCCCAATCTGCTCCTTTATTCAGAACTTACACAGAAACAAAGGAGAGACTCAAGAAATTTAATCACTGGCCTTCTTGACAAACACATTTCGTGGCCTGAAAAGAAGGAAGTGACCTACAGACAGACACCTGTGACTTCTGGATGCAGATGCTTTCCTGTTGCTTACTAATGTTCAGTGTTGCTGGCAGGATGCAACACCAAGTTATAATAGAATGCAAGAGGACTGCTAAATGCTAGCACTAGAAAAAATGATTAGAAAATTAGCTGGAGGGAGGGGAATCTTCAGCTTTTCCCCATTGCTCCCCAAATATATAGATCACAAATACATAGATCAACCATTCACAGTGCTGGTTCACAGCGCTTGCCTGTTTGTTAAAGTTCCCCACAGCGCTTTTAGTATATTATTATTATTACCCACGATTCCCCAGCAGGTCCCAACAATCTGAAACTCAGTATTAAAAAGTTAAAACAAGTTACAGCCACAGGAATAGGGTGGATCCTGAAAACACACAACTCGGGTGTCTGGAAACCAAGACTGATGAGGAACAGTTGAGAGAGTTGGGTATGTTTAGCCTGGAAAAGAGGAGGCTGAGAGGAGATAGGATAGCCATCTTCAAATATCTAAAGGGCTGTCACGTGAAGGATGGAGCAAGCTTGTTTTCTGCTGCTCCAGTGACTAGGACCTGAACCAATGGATTCAATTTACAAGAAAGGAGATTCTGACTAAACATGAGGAAAGAGCTGTTCAACAGTGGAACCGACTCCCTTGGAAGGTGGTGAACTCTCCCTCACTAGAGGCTTTTAAGCATATGGTCATCTGTCATGGATGCTTTAGTTTGACTAGATGCCCCTTGTGATCTGTTCCAACTCTACAATACTATGATTCTATGAAAGTCCAGGGTAAAGATGTGTATCTTCAGTAGAGGTAGTCTGCACACAAAGAAAGGAAAAGCTGGATATGACAAACACTGGCTATGACAGCAAAGCCCCAAACTCTGCAATCAGTCTTAAGTGGTGTTGACTGGTGCCCATTGGGACTGGTACGTCAAAATGCAGGAAGCCAAAACAGCAGGTGGAGCCAGAACCAACAAGAGGAAGAGCCAATTAATTATCATTTTGGCCCCACCATCCTCCTTGCTGAATTCTAGAAGGACAAAACTAAGACTAAGGAGGAGGCAGCTTACAGCCAGTACCATCCCCAGGATTGGTTGTTAAGTAGCAAGGTGGGGAGCTGGAGACTGGCTAAGGGCAGATTGAGCGTGATAGGGCAGTGCCCCTTGATCCTAACGGACCAGCTCCAGCTGCTCTAAACAGTGCAAGAGGTGCTGCAGAGATGTGCATCACACCCAAATACACATTTACTCAGAAGTTAATTTTCACTGTGTTCATTCAGTGGCACTTAGCCTTCATTAAGCATGCATAGAACTGCCACCATCATTAGGTTAGATCAGAAATAAGGAAACCTGGTGGCAGGATTGGAATGCAGCTCCTATCATCCCTGACTACTGGCTGCACTGGCTGGGGGTGATGGGAGCTGGGAGTTCAATGGCAGATGTTGGCTAGCCCTGCTTTAGATGATATGTGTGTGTACTGCAGCCGGCATCTGTTGAAAGAAGCATTTTCTCTTGGACAACAGGGACAACAGAGATGAGAGTAGATGGGATCACGTTTGCCATCTGATGTTTTGATAAAACAGTATTTTTTTTAAAAAAAATCAGCTGCCTAATTAACTAGTCATTAAAAAATAATAATCGCCAAACATGTTTTTAATCAATAGTCTCAACACATCTCCATTACACGTTTTGTTAAGGACCTCCCCATCCCAAAAAAGGCAATGCAGCTGTACAAACAGAGCTTTCAGTAGTATTTGGACGAATGCCCAGGCATCTTTCCTAGAGGTCAGCTGATAGCCGCAGCTGATTTGACTAAGCACCAACGTCCAATAAACTTGTAGCATTCTCAGCCCTCTTTGGAAGCAAAATATCCAAAACCCATCCTCATATCTTTGTAGGTATGTTTGCAGCCAACCTATGCTACGAGCATCACAGCTGTAGCCTTAAATAAGCTTCTTACAGGAGGCCAAAAAAAAATTAATCCTAAGAGACTAAATGGGGGGGGGTGTTCCCCCGCTGGGTGGTGCCTTCTACCTACATACCTACATAGTAAGAACAGACCTCTTAGTCTCTCCTCTGTCAGTCCGCTTGGTTTCCATATTCATGGAGGAACAAGCTCCACTGACAGCATGGAAACAAAATGGGCTTGTACAGGAAGGAAGAAGCAATCCATCCTGCAGGGATGTGGGGAGCAGAGCCCTCTTCTGACAATCACTCCCACTCCCTGCTTTGCTATTAGTTAAAACTACACATGGCAGTGTGGAAACAAACACAGTCTTGCTTAAGGAACATCTCAACTAAGCAAAGGCAGACTTGATTCACAAAACTGATCGGCAATCAATGCAGAATCAAATTTCCATACTCGAGGTATGACTGTACTTGACCACATGTGGTTTAACAATTTCTAGACACACAGAAAGCTGAACAATAAAAAAAAAATGAAGTACTGGGCATATTTTGATGTTGTATAACTTGGTAAGCCACCATTCATCAAAGTTGATTTCAGAAGGACACATACTGTACCAATAACATTTCCGATCTCACGGGAGTGCAGGTTTTTGAAAATTACACTCAAAGAGTACAGAGATCCACGTCAGTTGGACATGACAATCAAACACTAGCGTCCAAAGTATGCTGTCATCCCAAAAGTCCATTACGAGATGAGGCCCCCTCTGGAAGAGGCAGGAAGGAACCCAGGTCATTTCCTTTGTAACTTTGGGATGCAAAAAGTAAACTTAGTAGCTGGCATCTGAGGACTTCACTCTCCAGTCACAACAAAATGAAAACATTATATAAAGTTTTCAGGTTTGCAGTACGCCCCAAAAATTAGCCAATGATTTATCATCATGGTTATAAGAGGATGTGTGTATATAAAAATAATTCATTACGTATTTATATCCTGCTGCTCTTGGTATCCAGAGTGATTTTCTATTTTTTTTCATAGTAAGTTGATTTTGTAATGGGAATTAAAACTTCTTAAAGACTAGAATACTTATTGTGCCATGGGCACAAGACATAGGTCATGACATTATGTTTGATGATTGGGAACAGTTATGGAACACAGGTGTTAAGTTTACGGCTTGTAATGCTTTGAGAGAAAACATAATGAAAATGATCTACAGATGGTACATGACCCCAGTCAAACTTGCAAAAATTTATCATTTGCCCAATAATAAATGTTGGAAATGTAATGAGACTGAAGGTACTTTCTACCACCTTTGGTGGACCTGCCCGAGGGTTAAGGCCTACTGGGAAATGATCTATAATGAAATTAAAAAGGTCCTTAAATGGACATTTCTTAAAAAACCAGAGGCTTTTCTCCTAGGCATGGTGGGCCAATTGGTGCCAAGGAAGGACAGAACTTTTTTTATGTATGCTACTACAGCGGCAAGAATTCTTCTGGCAAAGTATTGGAAGACGCAGCAGTTACCCACTCTGGAAGAATGGCAAGCGAAGGTGATTGACTACATGGGAATGGCGGAGATGACCGGCAGAATCCGTGACCAGGGGAGTGAGACAGTGGAAGAAGATTGGAAGAAATTTAAAATATATCTTAAAAATTGTTGTAACATTGAGGAGTGCTGAGATGTTATGGGGTTAAGAAACAGAGAACTGCAGTTGTAAATCATAAGTCTAAGGAAATTATAATGAAGATGAGTCAATTAATTAAATGAAGAGTTGCTGTGAAAAGGTAAAAATAAGGATGCAGAAAAAGGGAGGTATGGGGAAGTCCGGGAAGTAAGGTGAAGGAAAACAAGTTTATGAAATTATACATGTTTATTTGTTTGTATGTTTTGTTTTGTTTTATTGTTTGTTTTTATTACATGTTTGGAAAATTAATAAAAATTATTTTTTAAAAAAAATAGAATACTTATTGTGCCATCACAGTTTAGGGCCCTTAAAAATGAATCCATAAAAAATTGGGTAACATTCCCAAGTTTGCAGAAATGTCTATCATTGTGAGAGTAGCCATCGTGTGATGGTGTCCAGTGGCGTAGCGTGGGTTGTCAGCACCCGGGGCAAGGCAAGTAATTTGCGCCCCTAACCCGTGGATTTGCGCCCCCTAACCTGTGGATTTGCGCCCCCTAACCCATGGATTTGCCCTAACCCCAGATGTTGCGCCCGGTGCGGCCGCCCCCCCTGCACCCCCCACGCTACGCCACTGATGGTGTCTCTTTTAGCTTTTGTAATTCTGAAGTGATTACAAACCAGCTCAGACATCCATCCCTTATTCTTTCAAATCCTGCATGTCTGGCATGTGGAGCAGTGATTATGTCTGTAGATGGTTTTAACTGAGTAAGCAGCCTGATGCATTTTTAATACCAAAACCAAAGACATTTTACAGCCTTCCAAGGGAAGAATAGTTGGATGAAAGCCACAAAAGAGCTTTTCCATCTCTCCATTTAAGTTTATTTTTTTTTAAAAAAGGGAAGGGATATATGCAAGAATGAACAAAAACACACCCAACTCTTGAGCAGTGTGTTGAAGATCAAGTTTTGCTGCCAGGATCTATACCCAATAGCTTAGACCAGACGCTCTGGGTGGGGATGGAAGCAGGAAGTACTGGATCCATGTGGCATTCCTAAAATGCTTTCAGAATTGCAAAGCCAAGCACAAATCTGCAGCTTATGAGCACAGAGAAAGAAACAGGGGTTAAGATGGAGAAATCCTAAGTATTTAGCTGTATAACTAGACATCAAAAGCCATTCAGTGATAAATGGATGTGCGTGTCTGACACCTAGCTCACTCAGAGATGTAATTATGCTTTCTAGTTTTAGGGAAACTATATATATATATTGCTTGCGTGTCATACTTACAGCTTCTCCCGTGTGCGGCTTCGTTGCAATTTTGTGGCAGCCTGCACAAATGTCCTTGACCCTCACCACTGCTGTTATTCCTCACTTCCCAATACAACAGTGCAAGCGTGCGTGGCTTTAAAAACCCACACAAAGGATTAGAAAGACAGCTCTATGAATGGCTGCCAAATAGGGCAGGACACAATCAGAAGCCACTTTCCTTCTTGCCAAAGCAGCAAGCAATGAATGGATTTCCCATCTGTGGCCTGCAACACCTATACACATATGGACAGACACATGAAGCTTTTAAGTATTTAAGCATCGGAAAATGCTCCTCACGCCAACAGAAAATTAAATTAAATTTCGATGCAGCTAAATGCAGCTTGCCTTACTTTTTTAACATTTCCAAACACACAGGTCTTCCTTTCCTCAAGCTACCAGTCCAAGCTGGGGATTTACACTGCAAAAAAAAATAAAAAATGTCCAGGCAGCTCTCAGAGCCAGCACTGCACATATTTCCCTGTTTCCACTTCAGAAGTGAGTTAACAGGGCATTCCTAGGAAGAGGGAGGAAGATACCAGGGGTGCTAATTCTTTAGATTAAAACAAGCATTTAGCATTCCAATGAACTACTGCTTGATTCAAACATGGGGGAGGGGGGGAGTAGCTCCAGGTTCCCATTATTACTTTTAAAGCTGTATAATAGGTCAAAATTAACCACATTCCCCATCATCCCTGCTTGGAACCACAATGCCTGCTTATTTTTATTTTTGCACCCAGCAGACACAGGAGCCCTCCCAGGGACAGGGTCGGCTTTCAAATATGTGTGATAAGCAAAAATGCACAATGTGTAACTTTACACAGAGAGAGATATGAACTATCATCTATTGTGGAATTTTGCTTGATAGCAGCTTAGGGCTCCATCAGGAAATCCCGAGAGCAGATTTTAAATGTATGCAACAGGCAACATATCACCAGGTGATGCTTTCCACTACTAACTATCCCACCCATCCTGCATATCTGTTCCAGCAGAAAACCATTTGTTGGTTTTTACTATTTTTTGACTGATACAGGAGCCCTGCCAGAAAAAACACAGGAAGCTGCCTTATATCAGGTCAAACACTTTGTCCACCAAGCCCAATAGCTGCAGCACTGTGTCTCAAAAAGTAGTTCAGAGTTCAAGGTTCTTGTGTTAATTTGCAAGGGCCTTAACGACTTTAGTACAGGATAGCTTAAGGGCCACCTGACTCCTTATATTGCTGCCCTATCACTGAGGTCTTCAGGGGAGTCAGTTAGTGGCCCCCCATGGCTTGGATACACAGCTCATACTTAGGGTTCTTTCAGCCTTTGGCAAGGAGCTGTACAAAATAAATCGTTTTACCGCATGCCTTTTGTTGCGGTGCAAAAAAGGAAGGGAAGCTTCTTCCGCGTTTGATCTTGCCATGACAGCAGCATAGCGCCATCACACTCATATACGTCATACACTCCATAGACTGACAGGAGATTTTTGTGCCCCCAGTGGGGGCCGTTTTCACCAACTTCTGACTGTTGGCCCAATTCTGTAGAACTCCTTCCCAGCTTAGACCAGACAAGCCTCCTCCCTGTTGAACTTCCAGCACTTAGTGAAAACTGTTTTTACTTATTTCAGCAAGCATTTCAAGTACGTTCTCTGGTTTTATGGTTAGTTTTAACCAATTTTATCTTTTTTTTCTATCTTTTTATCTTTACTTTACATCACTTAAGAGACTATGGTGCTAAGCAGTACATACATAGTTAAAAAACTGAAATGTTTATTATGGTCAATCCCCATTAAATTAAGTACAAAATACAAAGCAATACAAAAACACAACAGAACTAATTGTTTGTTTTTCAACGTGACAAAATCTTCCCAAAAAGAATAAACACCCCATACACTTGGGAAGGGGGAGCATTATCAGGGAGAATGAATCACACTAGGATCTTCTGCATGCAGAGTCTATGCTCTACCCACAAAACAACAGGCCCTTCTACCTCACCCCACCAAGAGAGACTGCCACTACTCATTCCTGGGAACAAAAGCATTCAGGTTGTGTTTAATAACATTGACCTGGGGGGCTTCTGCATGCAAAACAGCAGTCATTTTCTTGGTTTTACTGTTTTATCTCTTGGCAAACCACTTTGAGGTCCCCTTCCAACCTAGCAGTGTATAAATTTTATGAAGATAAAAATAAAGCAAATAAAATGAATGAAGCATGAACCAAGTCACAGCCCACCCACCCCCTGCCAAAAAAACAACAACCCCACAACCAACCAGTTCCCCCTCATTCAAGTAGGGGTGTCTTCCAAGGCGGGGGGGGCACAGTAAATTAAGCTGCCTGTCTTCTAGCTCAGTTGGTCAAATATGAGACTCTTAGCTGTCAGTTTGAGACCCATGTTGGGCAAAAGATTCCTCAGGGTCCCTTCCAGATTTACAATTCTATGATTTTTATACATGCCAACTGGAATAAAATATTTTGGGGGGCCCAGGTAAGCCCCGCCTTGCCTAAGTGATCACATGACACAGCACCCAACCACCATTTGAATGGCAATGCCCATCAACTGGGGGGCAGCCCCCTCAAATATTTTACTGGGGGGTGGATGGGCCCAAAGGAGTTGGCTCCTATGAACTGAGTTAACAGTTTGCCCTTTCCCCCCAAAACAGCTGCTCCTTGTTCCAGCTGGGGAGCTGAAGGAAGCATTCAAAGGAGGGAGGGAGGGAGGGAGGGAAGTTAAGTTAGCCTGCGTCAGGGTGGATTTGATTTAAATCAAATCAATTTAAATCACGATTTAAACCACTAGTCAGTAAGACTTGATTTAAATCATTTTTTTTACAGAAAGACATTCTTGCATATTAACAACTAGATGAAGGTTTCATTTTTAGAACAATAAATTTTTAGAGTAGTTTTTACAGTTATAGCAAAAAATTCTGATTTGGTTATACTATTAGACATACGTAGACAGACAATTATGAAATTATTGTGAGGTTTAATAAGTTAACTGTTTACATTTGGACAGCTTTTCTGCTGTACTTTATTGGAAGGAGAAAAATAACAATTTAAACAATTTATTTAACTAAAACAGTAACATTATAGCATATGTATCCATGTTTGTTAACTGATGTGGTTAAACGACTAAAAAAAACCTTTGAGTTTTAGCGCACATGAAAAACTTAAAACTAATCCTTATTTCCTGATGAATAGCCTTTGGACTACAATGTAACTTAAATAGAAAACTATCTTAGGCAGATTTTTCTTCCAAAAGCATTTTATTTTTAAAATCTGACTTTAAATTTTTTTAAATCCGATTTTAATTTTTTTAAAATCCGATTTAATTTTAAAATCCGATTTTTTATTTTTTAAAAAATCATTGATTTTTATCCACCCTGGCCTGCATGCAAAGTGCTCTTGCAGTGGCCCACAGCACTTTCTCTGCTCACCCCCCCCGCACCCCCATAACTGGGCACCCTTTCATTCCCGGATGGATGCCAACCACAGCAGCCCTTCCTCCTCAGCGGGTGCACCAGGGGTGCCAACTAAAAACAAAATATTAGGGGGTCACTTGGAGAACCCACAGAGACGCCATTTGAATGGCAGCGCTCATTCACTGGGGGGGGAGGGCCCTCAAATATTTTATTGAGGGGGGCAGGAAAAGGGACCTCGGCCCTTAGGAAAAGGGGGGCACCTCCTGCAACGCCCCACCAGTGGAGGAAACTGAGGGGCGCCGACCCCTCTCGCCCCCCCACTCCAGGGGGGGCTGTCACGTCAGTCAGCCGGTCTTCCTTCCCCTCAGTCCCCTTCCCTAGACTGGGCTGTGGGGAGGGAAGGGAGCAGGCCTCAAACTCGGGAAGCCGGAGGAGCAGCCGCCGCCGCTACGCCCCTTACCTCGTCCAAAAAACCCTCCTCAGGCACCGCAGTCGGCAGCCAGGCCCGGAGGAAGAGACGGCGCTGGGGGAGGGGAGGAGGAGGCGGGGGACTTCCTCGTCCTGAAGCTCCGCCCGCATCCCACAAGCCTCGGCGGTCCGCTCTAGCCCTTACGCTCTCTGTGTCCGCCTGGCTGCCGTCGCCTGCTTTTGAAATCGAAGGGGGAAGAGAGGGAGGGAGCCGTCGAGGAGAAAGTCCTAGAGTGTCTTTCTGTTTTTTTTGTTACCTTCCCCCCCACCCACCCTTAGATTCCGCTGAAGTGACTCTTTTCTTGCCCTTGACAGGGATGGGGAGAGCATAGCTGTCAACTTTTCCCTTTTCTTGCGAGGAGTCCTATTCGGAATAAGGGAATTTGCCTTAAAAAACGGGAAACGTTGACAGCTATGATGGGGAGGGAGGAGGCACGTCCTCGTTTCAAATCCAGGAAGTGTGTGTGTGTGTGTATATACACACAACAATTGCAACAATATATTATGTGTTTTCTCTCTCTCTCTCTCTCTCTCTCTCTATATATATATATATATAACATAATATATTGTTGCAATTATTATATTTTATTTTTAAAATAAATTTCACTGGCTTTTGTGGGACAAGCATAAAGCATAACATCTTTAATCTCTCTCTCTCTACCCCTACTCCTCATTAGGTATCAGGTTATATATACATTAAGGTAACTGGGGTTTTTTCTTTTGTTTTATGCTTTAATCTATCCGTACAGACTCTCCAAACATCAAGCATGTGAAGTCCTGGGGACAGCAGCACAGAAATCATCTTATCTGTCATAGACGGCAATAATAATAATGTGTGCAGTTCAGACCATGCTGTTTGCACTGAAGACCATTATCATTAAGACCATAATCATTTGCGTATTGAATAAATGGCCACATTGCAAAAGAAAATAAATAAATAGCAACAATATATAATGTTATATATACAGGGGTACCTTGGTTCTTGAACTTAATCCGTTCCAGAAGTCCGTTCCAAAACCGAGGCGTGCTTTCCCATAGGAAGTAACTCAAAATAGATTAATCCGTTCCGGACTTTTAAAAACAACCCGAAAAACAGCAATTTAACGTGACTTTTACTATCTAACAAGACCATTGTTCCATAACATGAAAGCAATAAACAATGTACTGCAGTCACACAGTCAATCAGTAGCTGAACCGGGTTCCACACAGTCACACACAATAGGAGCCACAAAAATGCAAAATTATTAGCAAAAACAGACAGACCTCAGTTTAACACTCAAAACCGAAGTGTAGCACTCAAATCGAAAGTGTAACACTCAAAACAGAGCACGTTTGGCTTCCGAAAAAAAGTTCTCAAACACTTCCAGGTTTGCAGTGTTTGGGTTCCAAGTTGTTTGAGTACCAAGGCATTTGAGAGCCAAGGTACTGTAGCACCCTGCTTGTGGTTAACGCTTAGCTGGAATGAAATATTCAACGCAGCAACAGAGAAATTAAATAATTATTTATTTGTCAGACAAATAAATGAGAGGCACAGTGGTATATGATTACCAAGCTCTGGCCTGGGCTCCTGCCATTATGGCCAGCACTTATATTCCCTTAATCCAGCCCCCTTTGCTCCTCCTTGGGCTGCCTCTGTCCCATCAGCCTGGTTGAAATTCCTATTGGCTGATTAGTATAACCAATCACAAAAATACACTCATATCCTCCTGTCCTTATAAGGGAGACAAAGAGCTATATATAAATGACAAATAAGTAATAATATATCTTACATGGAATCTTAATTACCAGCTCACCTCTTGCCCTATTGCCTTCTAAAACAAATGGTTAATCTTAAATTTTTATCTTAAACATATGTCAAGGATCTTGAGTTCATATTCTCATGCATCATCAATGAAATATCTCCTTTTGGAGGTCTTTAAACAAAGGCCTGCCATTTGTCATGAGTGCTCGATTGGCGTCTCATTTCTGGCAGGGGGCTGGACTCAATGGCCCCTGTGGTCTATTCCAACTCTAGGACTCTATGATTCTATGAAATAAGAATCTAACATCTAAATTTGTTACTTTCTAAATCCTTTGCATAGTTACATTTATGCCAATATATTTCATACATTATCATAGGTAACCTTAAAGCTTCTCAAAGTAGAAAGGAAGGAACTCAGTAAAAAACAGTTTTTAAAGAAGCCTCTTTAGTTTACCCCCCCCCTTCAGCCAGTTGCTTTCTCTTCCAAGTGCTCTTGACCTTTTGTCCTGTGACTCAAGTTTAAGAGAGGCCCATGGTTTTATTTTACTGTTTACTCATTCCTAATTATTTATCTCTGCCTTTGTTATCTTCTGTAACATGTAGGGTCAATGTCCTGCTCTTTAACCTGTAATTTCCCCCCCTTTCACGACTTTGAGAATTGTTTTCTGCTATAAATCAAAAGGGGCCCCTTGTCTTAGGAGAATGGCCCAGGTTTTCTCTATAAACAGCTGGCCTTCTTGCCTGGCATGAAACATTTGAAAATCTAAGCCCATTTAATTTAGGAACCTGATCAAATATAAGCCAATATATGCCTTGATTAAAAATGCAGTCTATATTCAGATGCCACAGTACCACTGTATATATAACACAACACACACCCACAGCCTCTGTTGTGCTCCTTCTGGGGAAGTTTGTCCACCTCTGACCTTCTGCACAGCCCCCTCTAAAATGAATGATACCTCTGCAATCAATAGAGACTCTACAGGACAGTTTCCAAGAGGATTGGGCCCATAACTTTCACATTTTTATACAGTGCCTTGGGAAATGTTGGCAGGACAAAAAAAAAAAGTGGGGGCTTATGGCTGTACAGATAAGTTCTAACCTTTGAAAACATGACTGCAGGGACAATTGTCCCCTGATCTCCCCAACAGAAGCCTATTACAACAATAATGTTTAGATAAGTGAAGGTCATGGACTCGCTAAACTAATCTAGTGCATGTATTCAATTTTTAACTGTTTCCAGCTTGATCAGAAATGTAGACAGAATCTTCTTTGTCGAGGTGTTTTGGGGATCTCCTTCTTGTTAAAATTCTCTGGGACCATCTGCACTATGCATTTAAAGCAGTATCATACCACTGGAAACAGTTGTGTCTTCCCAGAGAGAATCCTGGGAAGTGTAGTCATGGGGAAGAGGGATTAAGTCAGACCCTCCAAGTGTCCTTATTTTCCAAGGACGTCCCTGATTTAGAGAAGCCGTCCTGGTTTCTGATTTGATCTCAGAGTGTCCCATTTTTCCTTGGGATGTCCCTATTTTCAGTGGAGAAATGTTGGAGGCTATGGAGTTATCCAGCCCCCAAGCCGTCTGAAGGCAATCCTGTATAGGGAAGTTTTATCATTGTTTTATTATGTTTTTATATATGTTGGAAGCAGTCCACAGTGGCTGGGGCAACCCAGTAAGACGATATAAACCATATAAGGGATATAAACCATATAACACAGGTCTTGAAAGATCTACATTGGCTCCCAGTACGTTTCCGAGCACAATTCAAAGTGTTGGTGCTGACCTTTAAAGCCCTAAAGGCCTCGGTCCAGTATACCTGAAGGAGCGTCTCCACCTTCATCGTTCTGCCCCGGACACTGAGGTCCAGCGCTGAGGGCCTTCTGGCAGTTCCCTCGCTGCAAGAAGCCAAGTTACAGGGAACCAGGGAGAGGGCCTTCTCGGTAGTGGCACCCACCCTGTCAAATGCCCTCCCACCAGATGTCAAAGAGAAAAATAACTACCAAAATTTTAGAAGACATCTGAAGGCAGCCCTGTTTAGGGAAGCTTTTAATGTTTAATAGGTTACCGGTATTGTATTTTAGTGTTTTGTTGGAAGCTGCCCAGAGTGGCTGGGGAATAAATAAATTAGTAGTAGTAGTAGCAGCAGCAGTAAAATTATCATTATGGAATGGGATGTCTCTATTCTCATTGGAGAAATGTTGGAGGGTATGTTAACTGTTAAGACACTCTGAGAATTGTAGTGCAGGTGGAGAGCAAGAAACTCCCTCAGCCCTAGAGCAAGCACATGGGGCAGCTATTCTACATGCTACTGAGCTTTATGCCAGGGCTCCCATCAGAGCAGTTCGACTCTGTCCTGGGGGGCCACCCCCTGGTCTTGGAGTCTAAGCTGTCTGGCTCCATGGAGTTCCTGGGGAAGTGTGATGCCCTGGAGAGGAAGACATTAAGAACATCGGCTGTGTGTTCAACATGGAGGTGGAGGTGGTATTGCTGACAGACCATGAGACCTACAGCCCACAGCGCCAGCTGGTCCAGAAGAAGATAGAGGTACCATACTTAACAGTAAGGTCTGGGTTAGTGTGCACCATTCCCCTGCTCCTGGCCATCCCTGGAGATGCTTAGTGTAAAGTCCCCTGCAGGACACTCCTACATTGGACCTTTTTAAGCAAAGGTTGGGTGGCCATTTTTCAGGTATGCTTTAGTGATGAAGCAATGATTCTTCAACATCAGCTTAGTTGGACTGAACATGTTGTGCGGATGCCTGGTTATCTTCTTCCAAAGCAACTACAGTGGTACCTTGGGTTACAGACGCTTCAGGTTACAGACTCCGCTAACCCAGAAATAGTACCTTGGGTTAAGAACTTTGCTTCAGGATAAGAACAGAAATCACACAGCTGCGGCGCGGCAGCAGCGGGAGGCCCCATTAGCTAAAGTGGTGCTTCAGGTTAAGAACAGTTTCAGGTTAAGAACAGACCTCCGGAACGAATTAAATTCTTAACCCGAGGTACCACTGTACTCTATTCTGAACTTAAAAATGGAAAGCGTAATGCTGGTGGTCAACAAAAGAGGTTTAAAGACTGTCTCAAGGCAAATTTTAAAAAATGTAGTATAAACACCAACAATTGGGAAACCCTTGCCTGCGAGAACTCCAACTGAAGAACAGCCTTTACCAAAGGTGTCATGGGACACTCGAACTCAGGACACAAGGGAGAAACATGCTAAGAGGAAGGCACGCTTGGCAAATCCACATCGTGGTCAACTCCCACCTGGAAACCAATGTCCCTACTGTGGAAGGATGTGTGGTTCCAGAATTGGCCTCCACAGTCACTTATGGACTCACTGTTAAGACCGTGTTCATGGAAGACAATCTTATTCGGCT